TGATATCTGGGGCCAGCCACCACGTGCTGCCCTCCTGTCCAATGCCAGGCTGCACTTTTCCTGTGGCGCCCCTCAAAGCTGTCCACTTCCGCCTTTCAGATGAGCTACGTGTAGCAGGCAGCTCTCTGCACAACACCCACTGCCCACCTGCTCTGCAGGGTCCCCAAGGCAGAGGCCGTACCCTGGACCCTGTGGGCAGCACTTTTCAAGGCCCACAGCTCTGGTTAGGAGAAGAAAGAGGGGCAGGGAAAAGCGAAAGGGTGTGAAGTCTCAGAGGCAGGTGCTTTGAGATTCTCCAATAAAAGCTACAATTTAATTCTCTTAGCCACTCCGTGAGTCTTTATTCAGAATCTACTGTGTGCTGGGTACTGGTGTGAGAGCTGCAGACATGGAGGTGCACAGCCCAGGCCAAGCCTCTCTCCTCATAAGGCTCTCAGCTTCTGGGAGGCAGTGGACTTGAAGGTAACACCTGCTTTACACTGCACAAGGCACTGGCTCTGACAGTCTCCATTTAATCCTCAGTAAGCAGCATTACCACCTCTGGCTTAGACAAGGAAAATGGCAGCTACAAAAGGTTAAAGTGACCGTCCCAAAGCCAATGCACAAACTCAAGTCATCTGATCACCAGCCTGGGCTCTTTCTGGGGCTCCTGCGAAGGCAAGGAGGTAGCAGGGTGCTGCCTGGCACTGAACCAGACATTCAGCTGACTCAGTCCCAGGCACCATCAGGAGAGGTGAAACACACAAAAGGAAAGCCCCAATCCCTAATCCAAAAGAATGGACAGTCTAAGAAGAGAGAGAGATGTGTAACTAACCATCGTCTGTATTAAAAATAAACAGTGATCAAATTCAAATAGGTAGATATTTCTGGAAGGATGCACAAGAAATAATAATTGATAGCAGGCAGAAAAATTGGAGAATGAAAAAATACGGATATTAGGGTCATTCTGTGTGTTTCAAATATTTTTTTTTTTTTTTTTGACAGGCAGAGTTAGACAGTGAAAGAGAGAGAGACAGAGAGAAAGGTCTACCTTTGCCGTTGGTTCACCCTCCAAGTGGCCGCTACGGCCGGCGCGTTGCACCGATCTAGCCAGGAGCCAGGTGCTTCCTCCTGGTCTCCCATGCGGGTACAGGGCCTAAGGACCTGGGCCATCCTCCACTGCTTTCCCAGGCCACAGCAGAGAGCTGGCCTGGAAGAGAGGCAACCAGGACAGAATCCGGCGTCCCAACCGGGATTAGAACCCGGGGTGCCGGCACCACAGGCGAAGGATTAGCCTACTGAGCGCAGCGCCTGCCTCAAATATTTTTATGAGGCTACTTCCAAAAAAATCCATGGAAAATGGAATTAAATTATAATTTTATTCTGGTGCAAAAACATTTTAAAAGTTTTTTTTTTAATTGATTTGAAAGAGTTACAGAGAGAGGAGGAGAAACAGAGAGATCTTCCACCCACTGGTTCACTCCCCAAATGGCCACAATGCCAGGAGCTGAGCCAGGCAGAAGCCGAGAACAAGAAGCTTCCTTTGTGTCTCCTACATGGGTGCAGGGACCCAAGCACTTGGACCATCTTCCACTGCTTTACCAGGCCATAGCAGAGAGTTGGATTGGAAGCAGAACAGCTAGGACTTAAACTTGTGTCCATATGGGATGCCAGCATCAAAGGCAGAAGCTAAACCTGCTACACCACAATGCTGGCCCCCCAAAAATTCTTTTGAAATCCATGCATATTTGGAATCTTCAAAAAGTCTATGGAAAATTCGTAATATGAAAAAATAATGCATGGATTTCAAAATACTTTGCACCAAAATAAATTTACTCTTTTTAGAGATTTATTTGTTTTCATTTGAAAGGCAGAGTGACAGAGAGAAGTAGGGAGGGAGGAGAGGAAGGACAGAGAAGCAGGTGGGAATAGAATCTTCCACCCACTGGTTCGCTCCTCAAATAGCCAGCAACAGCTAGGGCTGGTCCATTCCAAAGCTGAGAGCCTGGAATTCCATGTGGGTATCTCCTATAGGTGGCTGGGACACAAGCACTTGGACCATCTTCGACTGCTCTCCCAGGCACATTAACAGGGAGCCGCATCAGAAGCAGAGCAGCCAAGATGGGAACCAGCGCTCATATGGGATGCCAGCATTGCAAGAAGCAGCTTAGTCCAGTAAGCCACAATGCCTGCCCCAAATTATCTCTTTTTTTCCCCAAAGATTTATTTATTTATTTGAAAGACAGAGTTAAAGAGAGGCAGAAGTAGAGAGAAAGAGATAGAGAGGTCTTCTACCCACTGGTTCACCCCCCAAATGGCCACAATGGCCAGAGCTGTGCTGACTCGAAGCTTGGAGCCAGGAGTTTCTTCTGGGTCTCCCATGTGGGTACTGGAGCCCAAGGACTTGGGCCATCTTTCACTGCTTTCTCAGGCCATAGCAGAGAGCTGGATCGCATGTGGAGCAGCCGAGACTCAAACTAGCGCCTATATGGGATGCCAGCACCGCAGACAGCGGCTTTAGCCACTATGTCACAGTGCCAGTCCCCCAAATTGATTTTTTTTTTTTTTAACAGGCAGAGTGGACAGTGAGAGAGAGACAGAGAGAAAGGTCTTCCTTTGCCGTTGGTTCACCCTCCAATGGCTGCTGCGGCCGGTGCGCTGCGGCCGGCACACCGCGCTGATCCGAAGGCAGGAGCCAGGTGCTTCTCTGGGTCTCCCATGGGATGTAGGGCCCAAGCACTTGGGCCATCCTCCACTGCACTCCCGGGCCACAGCAGAGAGCTGGACTGGAAGAGGAGCAACCGGGACAGAATCCAGCGCCCCGACCGGGACTAGAACCCAGTGTGCCAGTGCCACAGGCGGAGGATTAGCCTATTGAGCCGTGGCACCGGCCCCCAAATTTATCTTTTAACTTCACCTATTTATGAACTATTTAAAGTGCGTACATGAATTTTTAAACATATAAATGTATTTCCCATTTAACAACACTTTCAGGAGGCCATCGACCAAACCCTGCATGAGGAAAATGCTACAGGAAGATTGGCACTATGACACAGCAAGTAAAGCCGCCACCCCCAACACCGGCATTCCATACGGGTTTTGGTTTAGGTCCCAGCTACTCCATTCCAATCCAGCTCCCTGCTAATGACCAGAGAAAAGCAGCAAAGGATGGCCCAAGTGTCTGAACCGCTGCTACCAAGGTGGGAGACCTGGATGAAGCTCCTGGCTTCAGCCTGGCTCAGTGCTGGTCACTGAGGCCACCTGGAAAATAAACCAACAGATGCAAGATGTCTCTCTCTCTCTTTCTCCCTCTCTCTCTCTTTATTTCTCTTTCTCTCTCTCTCTCTCACTGTGTCTCTCCCATTCTGACTTTCTAATTAAATAAATAAATATTTTTAAAAAGAAAAAAAATCCGCAGGATAAATTATCTACTTTTTTTTAACAAGAAACTGGCACCAAAAAGAGAGGATGAGTAAATATCAAAGATTTTAAAGTATATAGGAAACATCAATCAAATGTTTTTATTTGGATGAAGATGTGGACAAACTAACTATAAAGAGACAGTTTGGGGGCAATAAAGGAAATTTGAACATGGACTAGGTAAGAAATTTTCTAGGTGTGATCATGATATTATGGCTATGTTTTTTAAAGATCCTATCTATTACAGATACATCCTGATGTGTTTACAGATAAGGCAATATGATGTCTAAGATTTGCATTTAATTATTTTGGCAAAAAATAATAATAAATAAATGAAGGCATGGATAGGGAGAGGGCAGGGACCAATACAATGAGGAAAATGTTGATAAATTCTCACACTGGAGGACAGCTCCACAGGGGTTCATTTTACTGTTCTCTCTACTCTGGTGGATGGTTGCAGTGTCCGCAATGAAGAGTTTAACTAAAAATGTAAAAGTTAATTATTCCTTCCACAAAGGATGCCTGAAAAGGAGAACATCATGGGGAGCCGGCGCCGTGGCTCAACAGGCTAATCCTCCACCTGCGGCACCAGCACACCAGGTTCTAGTCCCGGTCGGGGTGCCGGATTCTGTCCCGGTTGCCTCTCTTCCAGGCCAGTCTCTGCTGTGGCCAGGGAGTGCAGTGGAGGATGGCCCAAGTACTTGGGCCCTGCACCCGCATGGGAGACCAGGAGAAGCACCTGGCTCCTGCCTGTGGATCAGCGTGGTGCGCCGGCCACAGCGCAACCGGCTGCAGTGGCCATTGGAGGGTGAACCAATGGCAAAGGAAGACCTTTCTCTCTGTCTCTCTCTCTCTCTGTCCACTCTGCCTGTCAAAAAAAAAAAAAAAAAATCATGGGGGTAGATGAGGAGAGCAGGTAACTGTGTCCAAAGGGAAGACTAACAATTGCCTAGGCAGCAAAGGGAATTCCAAGCTGGGAGAACTGCTGAACAGATCCATCTGGTACAGAGCTCTCCAGAAAAGCCCAAAGTGTCTACACCTGACCTCAAACTCAACTGACACCCCACAAACGTCTCCTGCTTGGTCCCCCAACTCTCAGGGTACACAGAGTCACAGCAACGTCAGGCCCCCTGTTGCCAGGAAAGAGAGTGGCAGTGGAATCCACGCAGAGGCCTACAAGAAGCCCCAAGGTGGCCTCCAGATAGGACAGCAGTGAACCTCTCTCAGCTGGCTTTTGCTGACAAAGCATCTGGAAGCCAGCTAGGTTGTGTCGGGGACATAGCCTTCATCCGGCCTGAGTCATCCCAGATATTGGCACTGCCCTAAAACACACAGCAGACTCCCCAGCAGCACCGTGTAGATTAGCATCCTCAGTACCAGGGGATCCAACTTGACGCCAGGCTCACAGCCCTGCTCACTGGCACTGAAACACCTCAACGTGGTGGGACAGCCGCTCCTCCCCTCCTTCCCTCCAAACCCCCAGTTGGCCAATGGCCTCAGTCTCAATCCCCACCCTGCCCCCTGCCCACCTCCAGGGGCACACAGAGATCCTATTGGCTGTGCAGCCACTTCAGGTGCACATGAGCCCCCCATTCCCTTACCTTGGATCGGAGCTGCACGTACTCCTCTGAGCCATACGGGACGCTCCTAAGGGAGGTGAGGTAGTCATAACTGATGACAGCTGTCTGTGGACCAAGAGAGGACAGAGCTTAACACCTAGACGTCAACCAGGACTCCTCTGCCAAAGCGCTGCCCACACAGGCTGCCCAAGTACCACTGAAGATTCTCAGCCCCTCCCACGATGAGAAAACCTACCGTAGCAACTGCTCTGCCCACCCTGACGGCGCCAAAGTCATTAGGGTCCAAGTGCTTGTTACTGTAGAGGTAGATGCCAGAGGCGGCAAGCGCCATGCTGGTCCATGAAGCAAGCTTGAGGGCCTTTCTGGCCATGTCCTGAGACCCTGCAACAGAAAGGAAGACAGATGGAACACCGCTTAGGGCTTCAGAGCCAGTCTGCAATTCAGATGTCAGCTCCGTCACTCACAGACCTTGGGATGACCTTGGGATGACCTTGGGACCACTTTCCTGATCTCATTTAGCCTCAGTTTCCTCATTTGTAAAAGCAGATGATGACTGCTGGGATGAGATGAGATAATGCACTCGAAACGGTCAGCACGGCACCCGCCACAGTCAATGCTCAAAATCCTTCTTCACGGGGCCAAGCACTGCTGCAGGCATGGGAACAAGACCAGGCTCTTATCCACACGGGACTCCGACTCTAGGCCGAGTGACAGGCAACAAGCCAACAGGCATCAATGTGCTAGAATATCAGAGCTGCCTTATCCAAGTCACAGCACCAATGTAAGGCAGCCACAAAACACACCCAACACCGGAGTAAGGGAAAGGGTTTACTGGGGGAAACCCGACAGACCAGAGGGAGGGGGCGAAGGAGAAAAAGAACACATGTCTGGGAAGCGAGTCCTAATATCCCTTTGTCATGGGGCAGGTAAGAAGTAGGAGCAACGAATCTCATTAGGATGGGGGTGGAGCTGACACCGGTGGTTGGACCTTGAGGTTAGGGCCAAAGCCTTCCATGCAACGCAGCAATGGGGGCCAGGGCCTAAGATGGCGTCTGGGGCATAGATGATGCCACAAGTAAGACGGCGCCATTTTACTAACAAGCCTGGCCTAACCCTAGGCCATACAGCCACTTGGGGAATGGATAAACTGTAACCCAGAAGGCCTGTGCAGAGCCAAGAACACAGGTCCCCAGATGAAAATCACATATCCAGGGCTGCTGGTTCAATGGCCCTCTTCCCTGTCACCCCGACACAGCCTCCCCTCAGTGCCACCCTCCAACACACCGACCCCCCAGGTCTGACCCTGTAAGAATGAGGCCCCCTCTGGGGAGGGCAGAGTCAGCAAAGCAGCCACTCCCAAGACCCAGTTTTCATGCAAATGTCCTCAGTAATAAAAGAGGCAGAAATTGAAATACATAAAATCCATACTATAGGAGCCCAACTCTGTCTGCAAAGAACGGCCCTGGAACTTTCCATAAAGTGTCAGTGAGTCTTTAACATGCAAATGAGCTGCTGCCCTGGGGGTATTTTCAAAGATCCTGTCAGGCGTGAAATATGGCTGTCGAGGAAAAACACCTTTCATTATTCAGCCCCTCGCTAATGAATCACCTGCCCTGGACTGTTTACTTGCCTTTCTGACTTTGCGCCCGCCCGGCAGAACAGCACACACCTTGCGGAGGCTCCGAGGTCACCAGGAGCCTAAAGGCTAATCACCAGATCATAGCAAGCCTTTCCAGAGCCCTCCCGTTCACCTCATTAGACAGCCCACAAAAACCAGTCAGGTGAGACAAATATCACCATCCCTCCCCAGGTAGGCGATTTGCCCTCAGTGGCTCAGCTACCAGAACAGCCAAGTAAGAGCTTGTTGGGCCCCTCTGCTGATTCACAGCCTGCGACCTCTGTGGTAGGTACACCAGGAGCCCTTTTCCTAAGGTTCTAACTACCCTTCAGGAATGCACGAGACAGCCGTGTGGGCAAGGACTCGGACTTCTGACCCCCTGCCGTGCCCAAACAGTGCCAGCACGTGGAAGGCGCTGTGTGGAGTCCGGTGATGCAGGGCATGTCACAGGACCCACCAATGCTCCTCACTCTCAGCTACAAAGCTCACACAGCTGTCTGTCAAATCAGGAAGAAGGGCTCCCCCTCTCTGGACCATAGGAGGCACCCCCAGGGACTCAGAAAAGCAGGCATCAGGAAAGCCTGGGAGATTCTCTAAGTCGGAAGTTGACAGTTGATCCAACGTCCATCCTCGGGCAGAATCAAATGAAAAATCCAATGCTGTTGGTGGGGTCAAACTGTGGCTGGGCCTTGTCAGTGACCGCCCACCTGCAGCCCCGCCCCAGGACGACAGACCTGAAATCATCCCTTATTCAGCGCTCAGTGAGAACAGCTACCCAGGAAAGGCACTTAGGGACTCAGCTCTGTTAGTCTTGCCACAAGTCCCCTCTGATTTCCTACACGGACAGTTAGACAAACAAGCATTATTTTTTTCTAGGCTGTCCCCAAGCCTGGAAGAGACCCAAGGTAACCTTGGAGAGAGTGATCAGGTCTTCAGAGAAACCTCGTCACTGATGCAGAGAAAAAGCAAACGAGGTGGATGATGCCGTCCACAAAATGCTGAGTCTATGCACCTGACCTCAGCAGGTTTGCAGTCCGCCCTGTCCTCCAGAGTGACGCAGTCCAGGGCAGGAAACAAAGCTGAACCATGTGGTTGAGTCCATGTCGAGGAAATAAAGGAATCCCTGACCAATGCTAAGGTTCCAGAGTGGACAAGGAAAAGAAATCTCACCCAGGCAAGGAACAGAAGTTCCACATTCAGTTCATCCCAGGGAGGGAGAGACTTGGAAAGCCAAGCGCAAGGAGCAAGTACCAAACTAGAGAAGAAAAGAAGTGAATGTCCGGGGGGAGACATGCAGCGCCACGTGCTTAAATACTGCAAGTAACCTGCACAACTAGATCCTGAGGTGTGCACAATTACGAGCCTTATTCTGCAGGTAAAGAAGTGCAGTTCTCAGAAAAGGCCTGAGCCAAGGAGCTTGTGAGCAATGGAGCCAGACATTTAAGGAAGAACTAACTCCAAATCTTCCCAAGTTATTCAAAACAATTGAAGGGGAGGGCATCCTCCCAAATTCTTTCTATGAAGCCAGCATCACCTTAACCCTTAAACCTGAAAAAGATGCAACAGAGTAAGAGAACTGCAGATCAATTTCCCTGATGAACACAGATGCAAAAATCCTCAACAAAATTCTGGCAAATCGAATCCAACAATACATCAGAAAGATCATTCACCCAGACCAAGTGGGATCTATCCCTGGTATGCAAGGATGGTTCAACATTCACAAATCAATCAATGTGATACAAGACATTAACAAACTGAAGAACAAAACCCATATGATTATCTCAATAGATGCAGAGAAAGCATTTGATAAAATATAACACCCTTTCATGGTGAAAACTCTAAGCAAATTTGGTATAGAAGGAACATTCCTCAACATAATCGAGGCAATTTATAACAAACCCGGCCAACATCATATTAAATGGGGAAAAGTTGGAAGCATTCTCACTGAGATCCAGAACCACACAATGATGCCCACTCTCACCATTGCTATTCAACGTAGTCCTGGAAGTTTTAGCCAGAGCTGTTAGGCAAGCAAAAGAAATCAAAGGGATACAAATTGGGAAAGAGGAAGTCAAACTATTCCTATTTGCAGATGACATGATTCTACCTATGGGGATCCAAAAGAATCCACCAAGAGACTATTGGAACTCATACAAGAGTTTGGTAAAGAAGCATGATATAAAATCAATGCACAAGAGGCTGGTGCTGTGGCACAGCGGGTTAATGCCCTGGCCTGAAGCATCAGCATCCCATATGGGCGCTGGTTCAAGACCCAGCTGTTCCACTTCCAATCCAGCTCTCTGATATGGCCTGGGAAAGCAGTAGAAGATGGCCCAAGTCCTTGCGCCCCTGCACCCACATGGGAGACCCAGAAAAAGCTCCTGGCTCCTGGCTTCAGATTGCCACACCTCCAGCCATTGCAGCCAATTGGCAAGTGAACCAGTGGATGGAAGACCTCTCTCTCTCTCTCTGCCTCTCCTCTTTCTGTGTAACTCTGACTTTCAAGTAAATGAACAAATTTTTTTAAAAAAATTCAATACACAAAAATCAACAGCCTTTGTATATACAGACAATACCATGGCTGAAAAAAATAACTTCCAAGGTCGATCCCCTTCACAATAGCTACAAAAAAAAAATCAAATAACTTGGAATAAACTTAACCAAGGATGTCAAAGATCTCTATGATGAGAAATACAAAACTTTAAAGAAAGAAATATAAGAAGATACAAAAAATGGAAAAATCTTCCATGTTCATGGACTGGAAGAATCAATATCATCAAAATGTCCATTCATCTGAAGGCAATTTACAGATTCAATGCAATACCAGTCAAAATATCACAGACATTCTTCTCAGATCTAGAAAAAATGATGCTGAAATTCATATGGAGGCACAGGAGACCTCGGATAGATAAAGCAACCTTATAAAACAAAAACAAATCTGTAGGCATCACAATACTAGATTTCAAGACCTACAACAAGGCAGTTATAACCAAAACAGCCTGGTACTGATACAAAAACAGATGGATAAACCAATGGAACAGAATAGAAACACCAGAAGTCAATCCAAGCATCTACAACCAACTTAGATTTGACAATGGAGATAAAACCAATCCCTGGAGCAAGGACAGTCTCTTTAACAAATGCAAAGAAAGAAAAAAAGAAAATGAATCTTAATGGAGAATGAGACTGGGAATGGGAGAGGGAGGATGGGGTGAGGGCGGGAGGGCAGGTATGGTGGGAAGAATTACTATACTCCTACTAAAGTTGTACTTATGAAGTTTGTACTCCTTAAATAAAAGGTTTCTTTGGGAAAATAATAAGAGTGCATAAGACAATACCCACATGTTTATGTCAACAACCCAAGTAAGAGTGGCCCTCAACCAGGCGTGACGAGTTCACAGGGTGCTGTGTGTGTGTGTACTTTTCCTGTAACACTGCAGTCCTCACAGCAGGGTCTCCAGGGCAGGGGCCTCTGCAGCTGCGGGCGCTATGTCACAAGTGCGAATTCTTCATGCAAAAACCCAGGGGATGGGCTGTAACAGGCCCTCCAGGGGATTTCTGCCCCCGCTGCAGCAGACAACGTGCGAAGGCACGGATCAAAGCTAATTCACTTCAACTCCGCACTCATTTCCTGAGCCCCCACTAAGGACCAGGCACCACGCAGCTGTCCTGTCCCGATAGCACTGCGCCATCCGGAAGCACGGCGGGGAGAGAAACGGCCCGGCGCGCACCGCAAGCCCAGGAGGCCCGCGGGAAGGCTGCTCGGCGTCCTGCTCCAGCCCACACCGCGGCCCCGAGCCCAGGCGATCCCGGGCTGACCGCGCCTGCGTGGGCCCCGGCGGCCCTCCTCCCGCCCACGAGCCGAGCCACCGAGCGGGCAGTGCGCACCGACGCCCGCTGGCGCGCCGAGGGGCGGAGCCCGCAAGTCACGTGACGGCGTGGCTGCGCGCGGAGGTCTGGTGACAAGGTCAGGGGCCGGGGCTCCCTCCCGATTCCCCAGGCTGCCGCTGCGGAGCCCCGGCGCGCCCACACGGGCTCCCCCGCGCTGGGGCCGAGCTGGAGCCGACGCCCGCGCCCCGGGCTGGCCGCCCCTACTCACCCCGAGGGAAGCAGAGCCCGGGCGCCTGGCCTCGCGCCGCAGCCCGGCGGCAGCGGGTTCGCAGGCAGCGGCGCTCGCCGGCCCCGGGACCGCGCGCGGTGGAGCCGGCGCCGCGCCGCCTGCCGGGACTTGTAGTTCCCGTTGTTTTCCAGAGCTGCGGCCGTGGACGGGCGGAGCGCCGACGGGCGCCTTGTCCCTCCTTTCTTTGCCTGGGCCGCGGACTAGGAATTTTAAGGAAAACCTTATTACAAGAGAGGCGTTTTCGTGAAAGATGAAGTTGTGGATTTGCAGCTGTTTGTTTGGTTTTGGATTTTTATGTGTTTTATTGGGAGAGACAGCTGGCATCCGGTCATCGGCTCGTTCACTCCCCAAATGCCTGCAACAGCCAGGGAGCCTGGGTCTCCCACGTGGGTGGCGGGGAGCTGCCGCCTCCCGGGCCGGCGCTAGCGGGAAGCTAGACCGGGACTGGAACTGAGTTAGTCAGGAGGGGTGCGGGCGGCCAAACCAGCGGCCGAACCACGTAACCTGAGGCCAGCCCGGATCTGGAGATTTTCCGTGAAGTGTCGGAACAGGTAGGCGAAGAAGAAATTTCACTCACCGTTGCCGAATGGTAAGAGTATGGTGGCTCATCTTCGGGCGTCTGGCCCTCAGTCACTGGCCGGTATTTGTGGAGTGTTGACCTACCAGGTGCACCTTGCAGACATCAGACAGGCACGCATTCTACAACTGTTGAGTGAGGTGCCCCCCTCCTGGGGGAACAAAGAGGAGGTGGGGGATCCATCTATTGATTCAAGGTCATGCCAATCAAATTTCCCTGTTTGTTCCCCTTGAATCTTCATAAACTAATCTGAAATTTATGACAGACCAGGGTTGTGGCACAGCAGTTAAGCCCCTGCGTACAAAGCCGATATCCCACATCCAAATGCCAGTTGGAGTCCTGGATACTCTGCTTCCAATCCAGCTCCCTGCTGATGCGCCTGGGAAAGCTGCAGAGGTTGGCTCAAGTGCTTGGGCCCCTGCTACCCACATGGGAGACCTGGATGGAGTTCTGGGCTTCGGGGTTCGTCATGGCCCAGCTTGGCTGCTGTGGCCATTTGGGGGAGTGAACTAGTAGATGGAAGATCAGTCTATCTCTGCCTCTCTCTATATATATTGTTCTGCCTTTCCAAATAAAGAAATCTTTTTAAAAGTAGAATTGATATGACAAAGGGAAAACTATAGCCAAAACTCAAAGAATACTGTGCTTCAAAGACTTGCCCTTCCACAGTCAACATGTGCCAGCAAGCTAGAACAGTTAAGGCCAGGCGATACTGGGGGTGGGCAAAGGGGAGAAATGGAACCAACTCAAAGGCCCAGAAGCAGATGCAGGCAGCTGTGGGTTTCTGTGTCTAACAAGGCTGCTGGCCAGCGCCGCGGCTCACTAGGCTAATCCTCCGCCTTGCGGCGCCGGCACACCAGGTTCTAGTCCTGGTCGGGGCACCGGATTCTGTCCAGGCCAGCTCTCTGCTGTGGCCCGGGAGTGCAGTGGAGGATGGCCCAAGTGCTTGGGCCCTGCACCCCATGAGAGACCAAGATAAGCACCTGGCTCCTGCCATCGGATCAGCATGGTGCGCCGGCCACTGCGGCCATTGGAGGGTGAACCAATGGCAAAAAAGGAAGACCTTTCTCTCTGTCTCTCTCTCTCACTGTCCACTCTGCCTGTCAAAATAACAAAAACAAAAAACAAGGCTGCCATTATTTTTAAAGATTTATTTATTTATTTGAAAAGGTTATAGAAAGAATGAGAGGGAGATAGAAGTCTTCTATCCACTGGTTCACTCCCGAGATGGCCCCATGGGCCAGGGCTAGGACAGGCCAAAGTCAAGAGCTAGGAGCTTCTTCCAGGTCTCCCACAAGGGTGGCAGGAGCCCAAGCACTTGGGCCATCTTCCCTTGATTTTCTCAGGCCATTAGCAGGAATGGGATAGGAAGTGGAGCAGCCAGGACTCAAACCCATAGGGGAAGCTGGCATAGCAGGCAGCAGCTTCACCTGCTATGCCATAATGCCAGCCCCAGGGCTGCCATTATAGCTCACCATCTCAAGTATGCAATTTCCAGGCATAAGGAAAAATAGAAACTTGCCACCAGTACGAAAAGTGTGAATAGTATAGGAATACCAGGGAGGGAGCATTGATTTTCCCAGATTTTGAAATGCTCTGTAAACCAAGAATTGACTCATAAGCTGGGAATTAAGCGTTGAATAGGAGTTCCCCAGGAGAAGGGTGTTAGGGAGCAGGCAAAGTTATGTAAAAAAGCATAAAGATGCAGAATACAATAGAAGAAAAAGATATTTAAATTCAATTTTTGAAGTCTAAAACCACAGAGAGAAGAGAGACAATGCATCTCAAAAGTTAATACCGTTAATATAACTGAACATTACGTTTAACTATGAAATTATTAGTAGGAGGCCAGCAGTTAACTCTGGGGGAAAGGTGAGAGTATTTTCATATTCTTTGCCCTTTTGTGCTATCTGAATTTTATACAATGAAGTGTAAACTTTCATATTAAAAAGTGTTTTCAATTTAGAGTTCCAGTTGAATATGGCAGATTGAATAAACCCATGTAAATCCAGTCCTTGGGGCACATGTTCAGCACAGCAGATGGGAAGCCACTTGGAACATCTGCAGTCCATACTGGAGTACCTGGGTTTCAGTCCTGATTCCACTTCTTATTCCAGCTTCCTGTTAACACGCACCCTGGGAGGCAGCAGGTGACGGCTCAACTGCTTGGGTCCTTGGCACCCATATGGGAGGCCTGGATTGAATTCTTGCCTCCTGGCTTCAGCCTGGACCAGCCCCAACTCTTGTAGGAATTTAGGGAGTAGGTCAGTGGGTAGAAGATCTCTGCCTGTCTCTGCCTCTCAAAAACAGATTTTTTATAAAAATAAAATAAAGGGACCGATGTTGTGACGCAGTGGATTAAGCTACTATCTGTAATGCCCATGTGGGCACTGGTTCATGTCCCAGCTGCTCCACTTCCAGTTCAGCTCCCTGCTAACGTCTTCATCTTCTCTGAAAACAGAAGAAGATGGTCCAAGTCCTTGGGCCCCTGCACTCATGTGGGAGACCTGGAAGAAGCTCCTGGCTCCTGGCTTTGGTCTGGCCCAGCCCTGGCCATTGCAGCCATTTGAGGAATGAACCAGCAGATAGAAAATCAATTCTCTTCTCTCTCTCTCTCTGCCCCACCTCCCCCCATCCCTCCCTCCTTCTGTGTGTGTGTGTGTGTGTGTGTGTGTGTAATTCTGCCTTTCAAATGAATGAAATCTGCAAAAAAATGAATAAAATAAATCCACTCCTTCCTGAAATCCCACGAAAATTACCAGAAGGAATTGAAAAGGCATAGCCCCTGGGGAGAGTAAGTGAGGAGACAAGCAAACAGGGAAGCCAAAAAATAAGCATGGGCGGTTCCAAAGCAGACAGGCCAACGAGGCTCTGTTAAAACAAGCCAATCCCTGAGCCGCAGCCCCAAAGCGTCTGGTTTGAGAGTCTAGGTCAGGTTCAGAGCTCAATAATTCTTCAGAGCTTGACTTGAACAGGCACTGGGTGGAAGGTCTGCCAGGGAGGCAGCTTGGCAAAGTGAAAGCAGGTGCGCCGCGAGCAGTGGTCCTCAGCCGCAGCAGAGTCCCTTGGAGAGCTGGAAGGTCCTCCCACCCACAGCTCAGACCACTTAGATCCAGTTTCTGAGGGCGGGACCCAGACACAGGTCTTAGTGGAGTGCCCCTGGAGATTTCAATGCCGCCAGTGTTAAAAACCGCCAATTTAAAGACGCTTGTTTGAACTGTGTGCCTTCCAGCAAGTTTTGTAACGGAACAGACTTTTCGTTTCCTTCTTGATAAATGGAGCCAACACTGTTACCCGGAGTACCTTGCTCAGGATCCTTGTGAGGATCAGGGAGGCGAAATGAGTGCTTCAGGAACACAATATTGCTGTGGGGAGGTGCGCGATCACACTGAGAAGAAAATCCAGACTCTCTATCCGGCAGCCTGGCTCCCCGTGGCCTGGCCCCACCCATTTCTGCAGCCTCCTTTCTCAGCCTTCTCTCCTCAGCTCATTCCACTCCATCCACACTGATTTTCAGTCTGTTCCTCAGTGCGCCAATATGAATACCTCAAGGCCATTACACCCGCTGTCCTCCCATAGCTTCAAAGGACTGCTCCGTGTTGGCGATCTATTTTCTATGCCAGCATCACCCATCAGGAGAGATCAGGAGAGACCATGTGCCGGCGCCGCGGCTCAACAGGCTAATCCTCCACCTTGTGGCGCCGACACATCGGGTTCTAGTCCCAGTCGGGGCGCCGGATTCTGTCCCGGTTGCCCCTCTTCCAGGCCAGCCCTCTGCTGTGGCCCGGTAGTGCAGTGGAGGATGGCCCAAGTCTTTGGGCCCTGCACCCGCATGGAAGACTGGGGAAGCACCTGGCTCCTGGCTTCGGATCAGCGCGATGTGCCGGTCGCAGCACACCGGCCGCAGTGGCCATTGGAGGGTGAACCAGTGGCAAAAAGGAAAACCTTTCTCTCTCTCTCTCTCTCTCACTATCCACTCTGCCTGTCAAAAAAAAAAAAAAAAAAGGAGCGACCATGTGATTAGCTCTAGCTATCCACCCACCCCCATGTTCCCCAGTACACACTCTATCTCCTTATAGTACTGTATTTATTACAGCACTTATCAATACCTAAAATTTCATCATTCATTCATTTAGATGGTTTCTGTCTGTCTCTCCTACTAGAATATAAACTCCATCAAAGTTGGGATTTGGACCCACTATGCCTTGGACACAGTAGAAAACGGGGGGTGAGGATAGATGACAAATAAAACCAGGCAAGGCCCGTGCCTTTATGGGGTGTCATTTGGCTGGCACAGGGGAGAAGCAGACAGCAAACAAGCATGGAAGTGACAGGACAGCCATGGGATACAACCAACCCTGGGAAGGAAAGAAGCAGAGACGTGATGTGGAAAGCATAATGGACCAGAGGCCAGAGCTGTCCTCTTGTGATAGAGTGGCAGGCAAGGTCTCTCTGAGAAGCTGTAGACTCATGGGTGAAGAAGTTAGCTGTGGGGAGGAATGTTCCAGAAAACAGGAAGTGCTGAGGCCCAGGGGAGGAAAGAGCTTGGCATGTTTAAGAAAGGACCCCAATGTGACTCAGCCCAGTAAGGTGTGGGAGCTGGGCCACACAGGGCCCTGAGGGACTTAGTAGTTTGGATTTTAGTCCAAGTGCACTAACTAGCTATTAAAGCGTTTTAAGGGGCGATGCTGTGGCGCAGTAGGTTAATGCCCTGGCCTGAAGCGCCAGTATCCCATATGGACACCATTTTGAGACCCGGCTGCTCCATTTCCCATCCAGCTCTCTGCTATGGCCTAGGAAAGCAGTGGAAGATGGCCCAAGTCCTTAGGCCCCAGCACCCATGTGGGAGACCCAGAAGAAGCTCCTGGCTCCTGGCTTCTAATCGGTGCAGCTCTGGCCATTGCGGCCAATTGCGGAGTGAACCATCGGATGGAAGACCTCTCTTTCTCTCTCCTCTCTCTGTGTAATTCTTTTGATTAAATGGATAAATAAAAATAAATAAATAGTTTTAAACTGGGAGAAGATATGACCAGAAAGCTAAATAGAAAATGCAATCAGGATCCGGCACTGTGGCACAGTAGGTTAATCCACTGCTTACGACGCCAGCATCCTGTGTCAGAGCACCGGTTAGAGTCCCAGCAGCTCAGCTTCCAATCCAGCTCCCTGCTAAAGTGCCTGGGAAAACACTGGAAGATGCCCATGTACCTGGGCTCCTGTCACCCATGTGGGAGTCCAAATGGAGTTCTAGGCTCCCAGATTGGCCTGGCCCAGCCATTCATGGAGTGAGCCAGTGGATGGAAGATCTCTTCTTTTCTCTTAGTCTCCATCTCTGTCACTCAGCTTTTCAAATAAATAAATATTTTTAAAAATAAATAAAAGAAAATGTCACCAAAGCTATAAAGAGAAAAAACATTTCAGAATGAGCCAGAGCCCCAGTTGTGTTTGTGGGCCAGCAAGGCCCGGGGTTGGGGAAGGAGCATGTGAAATGCTGTCCAGGAGAGGTCGGCATCCAGGATGCTGCATTTCTCATCCGGGAGGTGACCCATTTGCGAGACAGCATCAAACAGCGGACAATGAGCGAACACAAGAGAAACCAGGTCTCTGTTTAAGGCAACAGGAAATGATCACCATGCAGGAGGAAGACACCGGAGGACCTGTGTTTGGGCCAGGAGGAAAGCCGCAGTGTGGTTGCCAGCAGTGTGGCTGCCGAAAGAGTTAGATGGAGAGCAGCAGCAGAGCAAAGACAGCTGGGGCCAGGAGGCCGGTGTCCGCCCCCGCCCAGAACAGAGAAGGGACCAGCAAGACAAAGGCAGGCAGCCCAGACCCAGGCCCAGAAGGGTGGGGTCCAACTGCCCCAGGGCGTCCACAGGCCAATCCAAACACCTTGTGCATTTTCAAGCTGTGTTTCAGCAAGGCTGGGGAGAAGAGAGAGGCCTCTTGGCCTTAGGCAACTTCTAGGTGTCCATGACCACGTCATGGAAACCTGTTTAGTCAGCCTCCCAAGGTGGTCAGACCAGTCTGGACCTGACGGAAGGCTGAATTTTCAAAACTGCTTTGGAGGAAGAGCAGGCGTGTTGCAGCAGGGTAAGGTCGAATCTGAGCACTGGTTCAAGTCCCAGCTCTTCTAATCCAGCTTCCTGCCAATGCGCCCTGGGAGGCAGTGAATGGCAGCTCGAGTGCTTGGGCCCCTGACACCCTCAGGAGACCTGGCCGGAGTTCCAGGCTTCTGGCTTTGTCCTGGCCCAGTCGTAACTGTTGTGGGCATCTGGGAAGTGAACCAGCAGATAGAAGATCTCTCTCTCTCTCTCTCTTTTGCTCACCCTACCTTTCAAGTAAATAAATAAACATGAACAAAAAAATATGTTTTTAAAAATACATTGGAAGGAAGTCAAACAAGGTGAATAATCTGGAATTAATTTTCAACCTGTGGGGTGGAATGACATGGAAAATGAGGAGTTCTTCTCTGCCCCTGACTGGCTGAAGACCTATGCAAAGGCACTGCACCCAAGCTGTTCAGCGTTCTTGTCTGTCATAAGGGAGAGGAAAAATTCCTCTTGAAAAAAGCTGACATATCCCAATAAGGGTAAAATCCATTTAAATTCTTGACCGGAAATCTAATTTCTTGAGATGACATACATTACAGAGTACATATACTTCCAACAGTCTCTAGAAAATGGAATTAAAGATAAGTTTATTTTGGTGCAAAGGCTTTTGAAAATCGTGTATACAAGGTGTCTTCAAAAGGTTCACAGAAAACATGTATTATGAAAAAGTATGCATGGCTTTCAAATGTTTTGCACCAAGATAAACTTATTTTTAAATTTCATTTTCCATGAACTTTTAGAAATACCTTCATATATATTTGCATATTTTGCATATATTATATGTACAGTATTAGCAAAAATTTGTTATTGCCCAATATTAGTCTTTTTTTTTTTTTTTTTTTTTTTTTTTTGAGCACCAGAGACAGCTCCCATCCACTTGCTGACTCCTCAGAAACCTGCAGTGGCCTGGGGCTGGGCCGGATGGGAAACAATCCAGGTACCCAACATGGGCCATGCAAATCCAGCTGCATGGTCCAAAATTACTGCTGCCCAGAGTCCACACTAGAAAGCCACTGGGGTCAGAAGCTGGAGCCAGGTGGCCGGCGCTGTGGCACAGCAGGTTAAAGCCCTGGCGTGAAGCACCAGCGTCCCGTATAGGCAGCGGTTTTAGTCCCAGCTGCTCCACTTCTGATCCAGCTCTCTGCTATGGCCTGGGAAAGCAGCAGAAGATGACCCAAGTCCTTGGGCCCCTGCACCCATGTGGAAGACCCAGAGGAAGCTCCTGGCTCTTGACTTCGGATCAGCACAGCTCTGGCCGTTGCGGCCATCTTGGGAGTGAACCAGCGGATGGAAGACCTTTCTCTCTGTCTCTACCTCTCTCTGTAATAAATAATATAAATCTTAAAAAAAAAAAAAAAAAAAAAGGCAGCTTAAAAAAAAAAAGCTGGAGCCAGGAGCCAAATCGAAGTATCCTGTTGCATGATGTGGACTTCCCAACTGGAGTCTTCATGGCTAGGCCAAACGACTTCCTTGTTTGCTTTAATGGTATATTTTCTCATATAATCCTCATGAGATATGATAGAGTTTTTTTTATTATCCCCATTTACAGGCATGGAGAGCCAAATAACTTGTCCAAGAACATTCAGAAAGGACAGAGCTGGGAGTCAGCCCCGTGAGCCTGATTCCAGAGCCCACGCTTTGGATTGGGCAGCCCACCCCGAATGTAGATGTATTTTGAGAGGGAAGCATTGGAGACAAATAGCTGGGGCCAAAGCAAACGAGGTCAGCCAAGTTCCAGTCCTGCTTGTGCTAATAGGTCTCAGAGCAGTCATCTTCCCTCTCCAGGGCTTGGGACCCCTTTATGTATTTTACAGGCGGAGCTTGAAGGGCTCTTCCAACTGCACCGCTCCGAGATTATCTTTGAGCTTGTCAGTCACAACCTACTCTGATATGGAAGGCAGGATTCAGTTAGCGCCTGGGCTGAAGAGTCCCTGTATCTTCCCCAGGTGTTGTCTTAACCCTTGGCTTCCCTAGGCTGTGCCCCAGGAGACTCACCTGCGTCCTGGGGGCTCCCCTCCCCTTTGCTCCCTGTGGTTGGAATTGGCAGGTAAACACAAATACACACACCAGCTGCTCTGCCCTATGTTCTGGCCATGGCTGGGTTCTCCCACTGCCACAGCTCCAGTCTGGGCACTTTAGACCGAGGAGTGGAGATGGCCTCCTGCTCTTGCTCGTCCCCAGGTGCTTCTCCACCACCTGTTGGTTGGTTTCCTCAACTGCCCATACCCCCTGCCAAGTAATCCTTCATTCAATACTCTGTGTGTAAAACCTTAAGCATGCTGTTCCCCGGGGGCCCTGACTGCCGCAGACCCCTCAGTGATGCAGTGGCTTTCCTCTTTGTCCTTGCTACCATGACACTGGAACTCCCCCCACCTGTCAAGAACCAACACAGGGATCCCAGGCCCCCTTTCAGAGTCCTACTGGCATCCCCCACCAAGCCCATAGGCCCTTCCAGAGTGAAAGAAGAGGACTCCCCCATTCTCCCAGTGGGGTGGGAGCATCAGCACCAGTGCTTTGTTTGCCTGGAGTCTATAAAAACCCTGGGGCTCCTTGGAGAGAGAAAATATGGAGTCAGACAGCCCTTGCTTTGAATCCTGGCTCGGCTACTTCCTGACTGTGAGAACTCCCTGTGCCTGAGATGCCTCATCTGTAAACTGGTAATAACAACATGTGCCTCGCAGCCGGCACTGTGGCCAACAGCTAAGCCATGGCCTGCAAAGCTGGCATCCTGTATGAATGCCACTTAGAGTCCCAGCTGCTCCACTTCTGATCCAGCTCCCTGCTGATGCACCTGGGAAAGCAACAGAAGACGGACCAAGTGCTTGGGCCCCTGCATCCATATCACAGACCCAGATGGAATTCCAGGCTTCTAGCCCTGGCTGTTGCAGCAATGTGGGGACTAAACCAATGAATGAAAGTGCTCGCTCACTCTCAATCTCTCTCTCCCTCTCTCTCCCTCCCCCTCCATTCTCTAACTCTGCTTTTTGAATAAATAAAATAAATCATATAAAAAAATTTCCCTTCCTCTCTATTAGGAAACTAGCAAGCCCTGAGAACAATTAGAAGAAGTAATGTGACTTCTCCAGAAATACCATACCACCTCCTGCAGTTCTTCAATGGAATAGACAGGTGCTGGTTTGGCAACAAACCAAGAAGGGGGGTGGGAGTGGGGGGATTAAAAAGAATAACTCATCAGAAACCAGGCTTTTGTTGAAAAAAAGAAAGAAAAAAAAAACAATGCCCAAACCTAACTGCAGCAAGCAATTAGGGAACAATAGCTAACTACTTTCTATAATTAGCGAGAGAAAGCATCGCAAGTGATCAGAGCGCCTTTGTCTGCTCTGACCCTCTGCACTGGGAAAGATCACGGCTCACGTGAGTTGCAGACTGGGGATCTTGGCATCCTTTTAAGTTTTCTGGAGGGACTGAATCTCACACCGCCCTTCTGTTGCAGAGACAGGAGGGCAGTAGGGTGATGAAGACTTTCTCATCAGAAAAGAAAGGCAACTGGGAACGTGACTCATGCACGGGCAAGTTCAGTGCTGATGGGGGAGGGGGAAAGGGTCGTACCACCTCCCCCCAGGGCTACAAACATGCTGTTGGTGCCAGGTGCGTGGGCTGGCATCGCTGTGGGAGGAAGAGGCAAATGGCTAGGACATTCCCCCAACATGCCCCTTTTGCGGAATATGAAGCAAGTCTTTATCTCTAACAATGGATGCCCCAGACAAAAGCAAAGAAGATATGCCCACAAACATGCACACGAGAGAGTTGCTCTCTTGGCCTTGACTGCAGGAGCAAGCTAGCTTCCTTGCCCAATCTCGCTGTTCTCCCAGGCCCCCAGCCTCCCCACTGGCCATCCTTGTCACTTCACTCTTCAATCCCTTATCCCCAGCCTACTGCCACTTCCTTCCATCTACTCTGCCGTCTCTGCTCCTCCCCATTTCTGTCATCACAAGCATTGTCAAGCTCCCCATCCCCCACCCCCCAGACCAGGTATTTTCACTGACTTCCATCAGTGTCTGTGTGGTCCCCCTCCCCCACACAGACAATCCACATGGCACTGGATTCACTGGGCCACCCTTCATGCTGGCATTATCTCCACTGGGGTTCAAGTGTCCTGGCAATGCACTTGGATAGGTTAGTGTCTCCCCTGGGTGCCCTTTACCGGTTCAGGGCACCCCATCACTCTGAGAGACCTGAGCCTGGAAAAGGGCACCCCATCACTCTGAGAGACCTGAGCCTGGATCAAGGTGCAGCTATTTTAGACTAGGCCTCCATCTTGTAACTCGGACCTGACTGGGCCCTGAACCCTAAGCCAAAAGCTCCTAAAAAAAAGAAAATAAAACTCCCCTTAATGAAGTAGGCAGGCATACAGGCTAAAATTGATTAGGTCTGTGAGCTGGAAGACCATGCCTTCGCCACGCCCCTGTGTGGCTGCCCCTGTGTGACCTCACCCACTACCTGATACCTTCGCCATGCCCCTGTGTGACCTCATGCCCCTACCTGGCCACACCGGGGTGCCCACCAGCCAATCAGGTTAATAGACCACTCCCCTTTGGAAGTGGATTAAAAGCCTGGGGCACGGTGTGTCCCGGGCTTCTCTTCTTCCTTGACCTCTTGCGGGGGGGGGGGGGGGGGGCGCCCTGGCTGTAGCCCTGCACCTCCAGGGCTCGTAGCCTTCGGGCCATGCGCCCTAGGCTTCCTGGCCTAGATGCTCCCCACATGGCTGGTTCCTGGTGCTCGGTATGAACCCAGATTTACCTCTCAGATAAAGCTCTCACTCTCCTATGTATCTTTCTCACTAAATAAAAGCCTAAAATGTGCCATGCTGCCTCATTTATTTGTGTCTGTATTTAAAATTCTTCTCTAAATATTAGGCAAGAACCCTCTCAGGCTTATTAATATTGGGGATTTATTAATTAATAAGCATATGGTGATATCGTATGGCACCCCAAATTCCAGTAACATGTGGCATCCCAGATGGCGCTTCTGGGGAACTTTAAGGGCCACATTTTCATATAGATTTTAGGGGGTCATCCCCAATACCATTACGATAAACTCTCCTAGCAACAGCCAGTTAACAGCAGGGAAATACGTAAAGTTCCAGGAGTCTTTTCAGACAGCTAAGGTGAAGGATAACATCCCGAAACCCTGCGGTTTGACACGTACACCCTAGCAGCTCGGACCCTAAACTTTAGCCAATCATAAACGACAAGTATAAATTTAAAATATAAGCTTATCAGATGCTGTATAGCCAAACTTGTTTGTTCAACTGTATAAAAAACCTAACGACCTTACTGTAGGGGCCGCCGATCCAGCCCAGCTGTGCCTGGTACAGACATCAGACCAAACTCGAGTTTGAAATAAAACTCTTGCGTTTGCATCAGCCTTGGCTCCTGGTGGTCTTAATTGGTGAGAATCGAATGTTTCGGGTACAACAACACATTGTTCTTGTGGAGCACTTGCTCAACAAACCACTAGAACAAGAGCTCCTGTGCCAGGCTCCGCCCCCAAAAAAGACAGGGAGGAACTTTCGAAACAGATACTTCAGTAAGCATTGGAAGAGTATGATTAGTCTGTATCACTCAAGCTATCAGGGATACTGTTTTTTAGTATAAGTTAAGTCAAAAAGTGAGAAAAGAGTTGGAGTGTTTTGGTTTTGTTCATTCGAGAGGCAGAGGGGGACAGCGTGTGTGTGCTCCCATCACTGATTCACTCCTCGATGCCCACAAAGCTGGGAACCAGGAACTGAACCCAGGTCTCCCACGTGGGTGGCAAGGACCCAGGTACTTGAGCCATCACAGCTGCCTCCCAGGATGTGCACTAGCAGGAAGCTGGAATCGGCAGTAAATCTGAGACTCCAACCCCAGCACAAAGCTGAAGCTAGAACCCAGGCACTTCATTATGGGATGCAGGCAACTCAAGAGCCGTCTCTTTTCCCCCTCCCCTCCCCTCCCCTCCCCTCCCCTCCCCTTCCCTTCCCTTCCCTTCCCTTTTCTTAATTTATGAGAGCCAGTGCTGAGGCGTAGGGGGTAAAACCGTCACCTGCAGTGCCGGCATCCCATATAGGTGCCAGTTTGCGACCCAGCTGCTCTACTTCTGATGCAGCTGTCTGCTATGGCTTGGGAAAGCAGTAGAAGATGGCCGAAGTCCTTGGGCTCCTGCACCCGTATAGGAGACCTGGAAGAAGTTCCTGGCTCCCGGTTTTGGGTCGGCGCAGCTCTGGCCATTGCAGCCAATTGGGAAGTGAGCCAGCAGATGGAAGACCTCTCTCTCTCTCTCTCTCTGCCTCTCCTCTCTCTGTGTAACTCTTACTTGAAAGGCAGTTACCGGGAGAGACAGAGGGAGATAGAGAAAGAAAGAGAGACAGAGACAGAGACAAGGAAGGGAAGAAGGAAGGAAGAGAGGGAGGGAGGGAGGGAGGAAGGAAGGAAGGAAAGAAGGAAGGAAGGAAGGAAGGAAGGAAGGAAGGAAGGAAGGAAGGAAGGAGGGATCTTCCATCCACTAGTTTATGCCCCAAATGGCTGCCACAGCTGGGACTGGGCCAAGCTGAAGCCAGAAGCCAGGAACTCCATCTGTGTCTCCCAAGTGGGTGGCAGAGGCCGAAGCACCCACATCACCTTCTACTGCCTTTCCAAGAGCATTAGCAGGGAGCTGGATTGGAAGTGGAGCAGCCAGGATTCAAACTGGTGTTCATATAGGATGCTGGCGTCACAGCCTGTGACTTAACCTGCTGTGCCACAATGCCGTTCCCCACAAGAGTCATTTTAATCGTGTGCCCATGCCAAGAATTGGTCCTTTTTTTAAAAAAAAAAAAAAGGCTTAATGTAGCCATGCAGCAGGCACAACAATCTGGTGAACTTGATGATGGTGGTAGCTGAATGACTAAAGTCTGCAAAACATTGTATAACTCAAAGTCCCAATGAAAGTGATGCTCAGTGTGATTTCGTCCCCTGGGGGACATTTGGCAATGTCTGGAGACTTTAAAAAAAAAAAGATTTATAAATTTAAAACTCAGAGTTACAGAGAGAGAGAGAGAGAGATCCTCCATCCACTGATTCACTCCCCAAATGGCAGCAACAGACAACACTGGGCCAGGCTGAAGCCAGAAGTCATGAGCTTCATCCAAGTCTCCCACATGGGTGCAAGGACCCAAGCACCAGGGCCATCTTCATCTGCTCTCCCAGGTGTATTAGCAGGGAGCTGAACCAGAAGCGGAGCAGCCAGGACACAAACTGGCACCAGTATGGGATGCCAGCATCACAAGTGGAGGCTTAACCTGCTGTGCCACAATGCCAACCCCTGGAGACCTTCTTGATTGTCAGGATTTGGAGGATGCTCCTGGCATCTAGGGGCAGAGGTCAAGAGGTCAAGTGTGGGGGCCAGCGCTGTGGCGTAGAAGGCTAAGCCATCTGCAGTGCTGGCGTCCCATATGGCCACCAGTTCCAGTCCTGGCTGCTCCACTTCCAATCCAGCTCCCTGCTAATGTGCTTGGGAAAGCAGCAGAGGATGGCCCAAGCTCCTGGCTTTGCCCTGGCCCAGCCCTGGCCCAGCCCTGGCCCAGCCTGGCCATCGTGGCCATTTGGGGAATGAACCAACAGATGGATGAATTCTCCCTCTCTGTCTGTCTCTCTCTCTCTCTCTGTAACTGTGTGTTTCCAAAAAAAAAAAAAAAAAAAAAAAAAGGTCAGCTGTGTTGCTGGGCATCTTACAATGCACAGAACAGGATTCCACAACAGAGAACTGTCTAGTTCAAAATGTCAATAGGATATCTGTTGAGAAACCCTGGTCTGTGTATGGGCTGAAGTCCAAATCCCAGGCTTGGCATTAGCAAGACTCTCTTCTACCTGGCCCCTCCACCTACTCAATGCTGCCAATGCCTGGCTCCCTAGAGGACCCTGTCCACACTCCCCTCGTGCATCTGGATACTTCAGGATTATTCCTGACTGCAAATCTAGGTCTGTGCCATTTCTCCATGCCTGGTCTGTCATCTCTCCCAGGCTTCAAAGACAATTCTGTATCTCTCTCCCCAGCTTTCTTCCAGCCACAACAGTGCACACTGATCCTACCTTAGTCATAATCTTCCTTTTTACCAATAATTATTATGCTCCTCTTTTTAGCTGTTATATTTATCTAAGTAGATCGTAAGTTTTTTTTTAAACTATCTGAAAGAGAGAGAGAAAAAGCTTCCATCTGCTTATCCATTCCCCCAAACAGCCCAGACTGGGTCAGGTCAATCTGGGTTTCCATGTTTGTGGTGGCGACTCAAGTACTTGATCCATTACCGGCTGGCTCTCAGGATGTGCATTAGCAGGAAGCTGGAATCCGAGGGGGAGCTAGGACTTGATCCTAGACACGCCAATATGGGGTGCAGGCATCCCAAGCAGTATCTTAACCATCACGCAGAGCACCTGCTGCCATTCACAGCTTTTTTGGAGTCCCCTGTAGTTTGGAGCGCATTGTCATCCAAGAAGCACAGTATCTCCTTGAGTGTACGATGTGGGACTGTGTAGGAGAGAGCAAGCCCTCTTAGCTCCATACCCCCACTTCTAAGCAACAGGGCCACTAACATGCACTGGGCTGCCAGCCTCTAGGTTTGGGTGGAAAAACCAGCTCACCCTGCAGCAACAAAACTCCCAGGCTTTCAAAACAAAAGCTGACTGTCTCCTTTTCTTTCTTATCCTCACAAACAGCTGCTACTTAGATTCTAATGTTAGAAACAAAAGCATGGGGGAGAAATAAAGGTGGATTTAACTGAAGTGTTTTGGAACGTAAATACCCATTCAAAATGAAGAAAAATGTTTTCTAGCTTCAATACAATTTTGTTCCCACCTCCTGTCTTCATCCTGGCCCAGCCCCAAATATTTGGGGCATTTGGGGAGTGAACCAGTAGATGGGAGTTCTTTCTGTCTCCTTCTCTAATACATTTTTTCTGTCTTAAATAAAAATGTTTTTAATATCCTCAAATCTTCTCAGCCCCTCATCTGTAAAAACAGCCTCTATTATTGTTGGTGTGTAACTGGGTGATGGTTGTAACCACTCCTATTATTAGAACCCTGTGTTGACGGCACTGTGAAGGATAGTCCCTATGGTACGTGTATGTCTGGTGAGCCAAGGAGATCCATGAGACGTGAGTGCACGTGTCGCTCGGAGCTAGGAATTGATTCAGGCTATTAACTTGGTTCATGCAGCTTTTCTCTGCCAGTGATGAGATGGCCAGAGACACCACTTCCTCCGGGAAGGGGTATAGACTGGAGCAGGCCATGGGTCAAAGAAGACAGAGATGCTGCTGCTTCTACCTCCGAGCCCCTTCTCAAGCTGCTGCATTGTTGAGATGGCTCCTCACTCCACTCTCCACCGACACCTCTGCAACTGTCCTTCTTGGCCTCACCTACTAACAGCATGTGCCCTGGTCAGGTGACATTGCCAGGACTCTTCTCTGCACAGCCCAGGTCTGCTAACAGGTCTCCTGGGTGTTTGCAAAGCCCCTTGGGCTTACCTCCTGCACAGCTTCACATAGTCTCAGGGTTACCTTTTCAAATTGGAGTTGCAAACTCAAGACCTATGGAGCTCAGGAAGATTCGCAAAACTAAGTGAAGCAGGTCAGACACGAGAATCATCTTTTTTTTTTTTTTGACAGGCAGAGTGGACAGTGAGAGACAGACAGAGAGAAAGGTCTTCCTTTGCCATTGGTCACCCTCCAATGGCCGCCGCGGCCGGCGCACCATGCTGATCCTAAGGCAGGAGCCAGGTGCTTCTCCTGGTCTCCCATGGGGTGCAGGGCCCAAGCACTTGGGCCATCCTCCACTGCACTCCCTGGCCACAGCAGAGAGCTGGCCTGGAAGAGGGGCAACCGGGACAGAATCAGGCGCCCCTACTGGGACTAGAACCTGGTGTGCCGGCACCACAGGTGGAGGATTAGCCTATTGAGCTGCGGCGCCGGCCGAGAATCATCTTTAAAACATGAAAACTTCATCGACTTTTCTTAAATCAGGCAGCTCCCTTGATCTCTCTTTTGAGAACATCATAAGTTTGTGAAGCATCTCACATTGATCATCAAATAATTCAGCTACCACAACGAATGGCCACTGACTCCTCCAGCCTTGGAGCTACAGTAGGGAGAGGGAGGACTGTGGTCCACACTCCCACATAGTGAAGTGCCTTCTATGTGATTGTCACCATGGGGACAGGCTCCATGCTGCCAGTTCTACTGGTTTTTAAGGGAACTCAGAATTCCAGATCTTTATAATTTCTCAACTTTTATTTTAAAATTTATTTTTTATTTATTTGAAAGGCAGAGAGACAGAGCAAGGGCTCCCATCCATTATTTACTTCCTAAATAATCTCACCAGCTGGAGCTGGGCTGGATCAAAGCTAGAATCTAGGAATTCAATCTGGGTCTCCCATGGGAGTGGCAGGGACCCAACCACTTTGGCCATTACCCCTGCCTCCTAGGGTCCACACTAGCAGAAAACTGGAGTCAGGAGCCAGAGCCAGGAATCAAACTCAGGTACTGCAATATGGCACGTGGACATCTTAACTGCTTTAGGGCAAATGCCTGCAGTGTTTTCTTTCCATGGTTATTAAATCATAGTCATTGGCTCCTTACCCACTGCAGCTCCTTCTTTAGCCCAGACAGGCATATTCCAGCAGAGTATCTTGTTACCGGGAAGCAGAGGAGGAAATAACAAAAGGAGTCACTTCAGCTACCTGAGGTCCGCTGTCTGAGCCAAGGGCACACTTGATGGGAATGAAAATGATCACAACAAATGGCAGGGCTCAGAGCAAGGGGCAGATTGCTCCCCTGTCAGCCTATGTAGTAGAAAAAGGAAGAGTTATCTTGGCTCTAAAGCTTTATCCCCACCGGATCTCTATGTTTGCTATCCCCTTAAGGTTGCAGCCAACTTTCAAAAAGAATAATTAAATCTGGAAAGACATGGGGTCAGCAGGGCTCACAGTGCTTGTAAGCAGGAAGTCTCAGAGCTTGCAGGGGGGAAGGGGCTGAAAGCAAAACTGCTTTCCTACTCATTAACCCAAAGAACTGCTCGATCCCAGAAAGACGTAGGAGCTCGTCTCACCAAACCTACATGGACCCTAAGCTCAAGCCATCTACAGTCACAAAATTGATTCTGTCCATTATTGACATTTTCAACTTGCTTAATAGAAATGACTGCTTTCTTTAGTAATCATATAAAAACAGAGATTGCATTCATGATAACAGAAAAATGAAATACCTACAAATTCATCTCGGGAGTGATGAGTCTAATCTATATAAAGATAACTCAAAATGTTATTGGTTGGGGCCGGTGCTGTGGCATAGCAGGTAAAGCCGCCACCTGCAGTGCCGGTATCCCATATGGACGCCGGTTCAAGACCCAGCTGCTCCACTTCCAATCCAGCTCGCTGCTATGACCTAGGAAAGCAGGGGAAGATGGCCCAAGTCCTTGGCTCCTGCACCTGCATGGGAAGACCTGAAGGATGCTCCTGGCTCCTGGTTTCAGATCATCACAGCTCTGGCCATTGCGGCCAACTGGGGAGTGAACCAGCAGATGGAAGACCTCTCTCTCTCTCTCTGCCTCTCCTTCTCTCTCTGTGTAAGTCTTTCAAATAAATAAATAAAACTTTTAAAAAATGTCATTGGCAGATAGGAAAGATTTTAGTAACTCTAAATCTGAACAGTGTTCCTGACTGTGAAGATACAAAACTGTGATCAGCCCTCTCCATATCAATTTTAAGGACAACTCAATGCCAATCAAAACATGTACAGATTTTTATAAAGGACCCAAAAAATAATTCTAAATTTTATTTTGAAGATAAAAAATAAAGGTATACCAGACTTTTTATCCACTTCTTTGTTCATTCTATTTATTTTACATTTTATTTAACTTGCTTTTACAGCTTTAAAGATATAACTCACATATCATAAAATTCACTTTGGGGAAGGCATTTGGCACTATGGTTAAGATGTCACTTAGTGGGGCTGGCATTCTGGCACAATAGGTCAGGCAGCTACCTGCAGTACCGTCATCCCATATGGGCACCAGTTCGAGCCCTGGCTGCTCTGCGTCTGATCCAGCTCTCTGCTAATGGTTTGCGAAAGCAGCAGAAGGCCCAAGTCCTTGGGCCCCTGCATCCGCATGTGAGACCCAGATGAAGCTCCTGGCTCCTGGCTTCGGCCTGGCACAGCCCTAATCATTGCAGCCACTTGGGGAGTGAACCAGCAGATCAAAGATCTCACTCTCTGTCTCTCCTAACTCTGTCTCTCTCTAACTCTGACTTTCAAACAAATAAAATACATCTAAAAAAAAAAAAAAAAAGATGTTACTTAGGACACACACATCCTACATTGGAGTGCCTGGTTTTGAGCCTTGGCTACTCTGCTTCTGACCCAGCAGAATCTGGAAGGCAGCAGGTGAGGGCTCAAGTACTTGGGTTGCTGCCACCCACATGGGAGATCGAGTTCCAGACTCCTGATTTCACCTTTGCCCAGCAATGGCTGTTACAGACATTTGGAGAGTGATCCAGCAGATAGAAGATCTCTCTTGGGCTGTATCTCTATATTTCAAATAAAATGAAAACAAATAAAAGCTAAAAATTTTTAAATCACCATTAAAGGTTTAATAATGCATCTGGTATGTCTCTTTTCATCCATTCTATTGGCATCTATGACAGTGAAATAATGAAGAGCCTAGGTCAGTTTTCCTGAAGAGTATATTACACCCTGTACTTTTTAATTATTTCCTTTTGCTGTTTTTTTTTTTTTTTTTTTTTGACAGGCAGAGTGGACAGTGAGAGAGAGAGAGAGAAAGGTCTTCCTTTGCCGTTGGTTCACCCTCCAATGGCCGCCACAGCCAGCACGCTGTGGCCGGCACACCGCGCTGATCCGATGGCAGGAGCCAGGTGCTTTTCCTGGGGTGCAGGGCCCAAGCACCTGGGCCATCCTCCACTGCACTCCCTGGCCACAGCAGAGAGCTGGCCTGGAAGAGGGGCAACCAGGACAGAATCCGGTGCCCCGACCGGGACTAGAACCCGGTGTGCCGGTGCCACAAGGCAGAGGATTAGCCTATTGAGCCGCAGCGCCGGCCTCCTCTTGCTGTTTAAATTGATCCTAGTGTTATGGTGCAGTATGTTAAGCCACCTCCTGCAATGCTAACATCCCATATGACTTCAGGTTAGAGTCCTGGTTGCTCCACGTATGACCCAGCTCCTTGCTAATGTGTCTGGGAAAGCAGTGCAAAATGGTCCAAGTGCTTGGGCCACTGCACTGCGTGAGAGACCTGGAAGAAGCTCCTGGCTCCTGGCTCCTGGCTTTTGGCTTTGGATCAGCCCAACTCCAGCTGTTGCAGCCATTTGGGGAGTGAATCAGTGGACACAAGATCTTTCTTTCTGTGTAACTATGCCTTTCAAATAAATAAATAAATCTTCAAAAATAAGTAAATAAACTGTTCCTCTGCCCCCTGGATAGCTAACTGGAAGTTAGGTCTGGCTTGATCAGAAAATTGGGGAAATTATTGGAAACAGCTAATGTCAGTCTCAATATTAGTGATGCTACAGTGATTACAATCAGATCTCTCCATTTTTAAGGTGTATTTTTCTTTTGCAGTCATCAGCCTTCTTAATGATTTTTTTTTTGAAAGACACAGCGAGAGAGAGAGAGAGAGAGAGAGAGAGAGAGAGAGAGAGAGAGATCTTCTATCTGCTGGTTCACTCCCCAAATGGCCACAACTGCCAGGCTGGGCCAGGTCCAAGAACTGTATCCATGTCTCTCATACAGGTGGCTGTTGCTGTGAATTCATTCTGAGAGAAGAGCCGGGGGGGTGGGGTGGGGCAAGAGGTGTAGAGTCATGACACAGACACCGGGTGTCGGGTGAAAGTGGGCTAGAGGCGAGCAGCTCGCAGACTCGTGTATCTCAGTGGGTGCAGCAGCTTATATAGCCGTGGCAGCCAATCCAGTCAAGGGGTGGTTTATGCCATAACCAATCACTGCCTACTGCCAGGCAGGCTCCATTGCCAGGTGGGTTCCAAAGCCATTTCCTAAGTAACTGATGCTCGCATGCCGGTGGCATCTTGGCATGGCCTTCTCATACTACCACATTTCTCACTTTTCGTTCATTTTTGAGCAACAGGAAGCATGATCCTTGGTCATACCATTGTTGACCTCATTTCCATGTGGTCTCCTCATGGGGCTGTGCCTGTCTTAGGTTGTTCCCCAGGGGATCTTACCCGTCACTGACTAACCAGCCCTCAAAATGGGAGACCACAGGAGTGCTTGCTCAGATGGGGGGTAGGAATGAAGAACAATGGTAATCAGGAATGGCGTGACCACACGCAGGCTGTAGGCCATTCCAGTGGCTGACCAGAGCTAGTGGGGTATAAAGCAGTAGCGGATGTGGCTGTGGGCAGTTCCTCAGGGCAGGATGATAGGGCAGCAGCTTCACAATCGGTAGCAGGTGCATCTGCTAACAAGGCCGACTCTCAGTCTTGTTCAGCTGGTTCTGACTGACTGTCAGTTGCAGGCTTGATGTTTCTGGCTGGTACCCAAATGGGCTGTCCCGCATTCTCTGGAAAGACACAAGCATATCCTTGACCCTTGGTCAGCAGAGGGTGTGGTCCCTTCCATTCTACTGTCAGGGGGTCTTTCTACCTAACCATAGGGGCCGGTGTCTGGGATGGAAAGGATCCCCAGTGTTTATAAGCTGGGCTGATGCTTTGGGAATCGTAAGTAAGAAAACTGATAATGAAAAGAACCTCAGTCAAAGCAAGCTGAGGGTCTGGGGGCATATGATTGTTTTTCTGTCTTTGTAAGAGATCTTTAATTGTCTTGTGAGTTCTTTCAATGATTGCCTGTCCCTATGGGTTGTATGAGATACCTGTGGCAGACTATATGTTCCAGGACCTCAGGAAGGAATTAAATTCCTGTGATGTATATGCTGGCCCATTATCTGTCTTTATGGTCCAGGGGACACCATTCCACCACAGGTGGCAGAGGCCTAAGTACATCTTCCACTGCCTTCCCAGGTGCATCGGCAGGAAGCTGGATCAGCAGCAGAGCAGTGGTGATTCGAACCAGCACTCCAGTTTGGGATGCCAGTGTCAGAAGTAGCAGCTTATGTGGCCTGGGAAGGCAGTGGAGGATGGCCCAAGTCCTTGGGCCCTGCACCCGCATGGGAGACCAGGAGGAAGCACCTGGCTCCTGGTTTAGCGGCCATTTGTGGGGGTGAACCAACAGAAGGAAGACCTTTCTCTCTGTCTCTCTCACTGTTTAACTCCGCCTGTCAAAAAAAAAAAAAAAAAAAGTAGCAGCTTAACCCACTGTACCACAATGCAAGCCCTGATACTTTGATTTAAAATTTTTTTTAATTTTTGAAAGCATACAAAAGACATGTGAAAAAGAACAATGAGGTGGAGCAGCTCTACTTTTTTATAAGAGAATTATGAGAAAGCTGTAATAACAAAGCACAATGGCATCAGAGCCTCAAACACTGGTGCTGAAATCAATTCAAAATGCATCATCTAGGAGAAAAGAATGTGCTGTGTAGCTCTGACATGTTCCAAACACATCATTTGCTACATGATGATTTTGTTTTGAATTCTTATCTGGTTCAATGCTTTGTTTAAGAGGGGACACCTTACTGGACTCATGGAAGAGTGCTTCAAAATGTTCATAAAAAACAGATTTAAAAGTTTATTTTGGTGCAAAAATTTGTGCAATGCATACATATGGGGGGTCTGCAAAAAGGTCATGGAAAAGGTATATTATGAAAAAACGATGCATGGGTTTTTAAAATTTTCTTAAAAATGTTAGTAAATTTTTTAAGATTTAATTATTTATTTGAAAGACAATTACAAACAGAGAGAGAGAGAGAGAGAGAGGGAGGGAGAGAGAAACAGAGACAGAGAGAGATCTTCCATCTACTGGTTCACTCCCCAAATGACCACAATGTTCAGGGTTGGGCCATGCTGAAGGAACTCCATCTGGGTTTCCCATGTGGGTCGCAGGAGCCCAAACACTTGGGCTATCTGCTGCTTTCTCAGGTGCATTAGCAGGGAGTTGGATTAGAAGCTGAGAAGCCAGGACTTAAACCAGAGATCATATGGAATGCCAGCATTGCAGGCAGTGGCTTAACCTGCTACACAACTGAAAACTTACCTTTCTGGAGGTGGGGAGGGGCAGCAAAATAAATATGTCTTTTTCTTCTCTTTTTCCATTCACTGGTTGGCACTCCAAATAGCCACAACAGTTGGGGTTGGGCAAGGCCAAAGCCAGGAGCCCAGAGCTCCTTCCAGGTCTCCCATGTGGATGACGGGGCCAAGTACTTGAGCCATCTTCCACTACTTTGTTGAGAGTATTAGCAGGAAACCAGATCAGAACTGGAGCTGGGAGAGAAGGAGGAAGGAAGGGAGGAGGTAAGGACCATTATATTCTTATAATTGTATCTATGAACTACATGAAATCTGTTCCCTTTATATGAATAAAAATAAGTTAAGAAAAAAAATAGAGGAGCTGGGACTCAAACTGGTGGAATGCTGGTGTCACCAGTGGTGGTGCAACCCACTGAGCCACAGTGCCAGCTCCCAAATACACTTATCTTTTAATTTCATTTCCTCACAAACTTTTTAAAACATCTTCACGTATTAGACAGCTTTTGATTACTACCACTTAATATCCAAGACAAGCTATTTACAAAGGAGACTATCTCAGCTCATGGTTTTGAAGGGGACCCCCAACTGGTTAATCCATTAATTGTTAACATTAATCCATTAGCCATGAATGTAAGACTTTGGGAACCAAGCCTTTACCACATAGGCTTTGGGGAATCACCCAAACTAATATCCAAACCGTAAACACATGGATGGAATTCCTCCTTTTTTTTTAAAGATTTATTTATTTATTATTTATGTTAAAGTTTTTTTTTATTTATTGAAAGGCAGAGTTGCACAGAGAGAGGAGAGGCTGAGAGAGAGAGAGAGAGAGAGAGAGAGAAAGAAAGAATTCTCCATCTGCTGGTTCACTCCCCAATTGGCTGCAATGGCTGGAGCTGTGCCGATCTGAAGCCAGGAACCAGGAGCTTCTTCCAGGTCTCCCAAGCAGGTGCAGAGGCCCAGGCACTTGGGCCATCTTCCACTGCTTTCCCAGGCCATAGCAGAGATCTGGATCGGAAGTGGAGCAGCTGTGACGCGAACCAGTGTTCATATGGGATGCCAGCACTGCAGGCGGTGGCTTTACCTGCTACACACAGCATCGGGCCCCTTCCTGCCTCTCTAGAACATGAGCTACTGACCTCAACTACTGAACTTCAAAGTCCAGAGTTTGACCAACACCTGGAGAGCTCAGGCAGTGGCAGGGCTGTGCCCTGTCACTGGCTTCTCCACATGGAAAGAGCTCAGGCTGCACAGGCCAAAACCAGTGCCACCTCCCAGCATGCAGGGACCTCACGTGTCCACTGCGGAGGTCAAGCCAGCCGCCTGAGGCTGCTCATAGAAAGGTATGCTTCAAACTTTAATTACACTCTGCTTTCCACGCAAAGTGAGCAATTGGACTTGAATAATTTTGGAACTCATTCAGTGTGTGGTTAATGTGCCTCGTTTACGGAGTGTATTCCCTGGGAGGTTTGCTCACATTATTCTCCCCCTCCTTAGGCACTGTGAACCTAAGAAAAGTTCAGCGAACTGTGTGATTTGTGAAATCCTACTTTGATCAGCTCCTTACATGCACCACATGCAATAGAATGTTATTTGGAACATACCCCAGAAATAAAATCGACTTCAATTGCTTCACTTAGAGATGCAAAATGGGAAGCTCAAGAAGCTTAATAAACTGTGTTCAAGTCAATTAAATTAAAGCCAGAAAATCATAATTATTTTTTGAGTGCTCACTCTATCTTGGACGTTGTTCTAAAGCACCATACATGATTAACTCAACTAATCCAACAAATTTATGAGAATAGGTTAAATGTTTTCTCACTTAAAAAAAAGAATTTTATTTATTTTACTTATTTGAGACAGTGAAAATGACAGAAAACACCTCATCTGCTGGTTTACTCCTCAAATGCCCAAAACAGCCAGGGCTAGGCCAGGCTGAAGTCAAGAACCCGGAACTCCACCTGGGTCTCCCATTGGGTGGCAGGAACCCAAGTGCTTGGGCCATCACCTGCTACCTCCTAGGTGCATTAGCAGGGATCTGGTACAAGAAGCACAGAGCAGCCAGGACTTGAGCCAGGCACTCCGATATGGAATGCAGGTGTTCCCCGTGGTAGCCTAACCCACTGCATCACAATACCCAGCAACACCTTGACTGCTAGGCCAAACACCCACCTCAGCCCCCTGCCTCCCATTTCTGGGTTGTTTTTCTTGCCAGTGAGAAAACTGATACAGATTATGGGACTTGCCCAGGATCTACAACTTGTCCATGAGGGAGCCAAGATGGGAACTCAGGAAAGCTGACTTCAGAATCTCTGTCTAACTGCTCCACCCTACCACCCATGTGCTGTTACCTGTGGCTGCACAGTTACAGCTAGCTGGAAATCAAGTTAGGCCCCAGGTTCTCTGAGAACCAACTCCAGCTGCTCTCTGGATAGCCAAGACAAAGTGAATTGATTGCTTCTTGCAACCTGGGCCTGCATGAGCCTATTTTGAGCCAGCAAGCACAATTACCTGTGATAATGAGGGCTGGAAGGGCAAGAAAGATCCAGCTGAACACCAAGCCCCTCTCCAGCACAAAACCAAACAAAGCAGGGGCCCTGGGGTACAATATCATAGCACTTTGGCAGCAGATGTGTTTCCTTAATTATGCTGTGCTAAGATTGCATTTGAGTCAGTCACATTTCTCTACACTCCCAAGAACAGCGAGGGACCACGACTGATGGGAACGCCTTGCACAGTCGCCTCTGTGGAAAACGAGCATGGATTGGGAGAACTCTTCTCCCCTGCTTTCTTTCAGTCCTATACCCCAGATCTTGGTCCACGGATCGCTGATTTCCCACGTTAATTACTTTACCCTTGTCCTCAGTGGCCTACCTTGTCTCTCATTGCCATAGAAACCTACTCCTCCTTAAGAATCCTCTTTCTTGCCTGTTTCTTAAGTCCTTGTTCAGTTTCAAGTCAGCTGCTAAATTAAATCCAAGCTCCTTGACCTTGGCTTCCAGGACCTCCTCTAATCTGTTCCTCTTTTATTCTCTGTTTAGCAATAATACATTCTGGGAGCAGAGGTTACAGCAGATCACTGCCAACTCAAACACGAACTGTAAGAAGTAATAAATTTATGTAAAACTTTTGCAGTTGAGTAAAAACACAAAATACACCCACCTCTATCACTTACACCTCCCAGTCACTAGTTTTATAGTATATATGGAACATGAATGGTATTTTATGTTTAATGAAACTGGGGCCCAAAAATATTGCTCATGGTAGTAACACTGCTTATGGGTGGTGAAGCTGCAGTTTAAATCCATACTACAGCTTAGTTCCACCTTAACGGAAGGGAACGTTAGCCTGAATGAATCCATTTTGATCAGTTGGGACTGTTGTGTTTTTCTTTAAGATTTATTTACTTATTTGAAAGCAGGGTTACAGAAAGATAGAAGGCGAGACAGAAAGAGATCTCCCATTCACTGGTTTACTCCCCACATGGCTGCAATGGCTGGAGCTGGGCCAATCCAAAGCCAGGAGCCAGAAGCTTCCTTTGGGTTTCCCACATGACTGCAGGGGCCCAAGGACTTGGGCCACCTTCTGCAGCTTTCCCTGGTACATTAGTAGGGAGCTGGATCAGAAGAGGAGCAGCTGGGTCTCAAACAGGTGCCCATATGGAATGCCAGTGCCACAGCGCCACCCCCTGTTGGGAATATTAAATAAAATGTAGAGTAGGCTATTGCTTTGGATTTAGCTCCTGTACTAGGTTCAAAAAACCAAAATAGAGTTACTCATGCTGAAACTTCACATCATCATTCATTTATCTGAGAGATCAAGAGATAATAGTCAAATCCTCACGCAACGAGGCCGGCCCCGTGGCGCAGTAGGTTAATCCTCCGCCTGCAACGCCAGCTTCCCAAATGGGTGCTGGTTCTAGTCCTGGCTGCTACACTTCTGATCCAGCTCTCTGCTATGGCCTGGGAAAGCAGCAGAAGATGGCCCAAGTGCTTGGGCCCCTGCACCTGCGTAGGAGACCCAGAAGAAGTTCCTGGCTCTTGGCTTCGGATCAGCGCAGCTCCGGCCATTGTGGCCATTTGGGGAGCAAACCAGCAGATGGAAGACCTTTCTCTCTGTCTCTCCCTCTGTCTGTAACTCTGTCTCTCAAATAAATAAATAAAATATTTTTAAAAAATCCTCACACAGCTTTAGCCAGCAGAAAGAAGCACAGGGACGTCCCTCTGTTTAACTTTCACAGGGAGAGTAACTATGATGCAACCAATGCACTTTTTGTTCCCCCTTTCTGCTTTCTTCAGCCCCTTTTTTGTCTAGAAAGCCAGCTTCTTCTGAACTGCTCATCAGAACACTCATTTTACTTTATGGAATGAAGTGTTGCCAGATTTTAGAATCAAAACTAAAAGCTGGGGCTGGCGCTGTGGCATAGCGGGTAAAACCGCCACCTGTAGTGCCGGCATTCCATATAGTCTCCAGTTCGAGTCTGGCTGCTCCACTTCCAATCCAGCTCTCTGCTATGGCCTGAGAAAGCGGTGGAAAATGGCTCAAGTCCTTGGGCCCCTGCATCTGCGTGGAAGACTGGGAAGAAGATCCTAGTTCCTGGCTTTGGATCTGCGCAGCTGCAGCCATTGCGGCCAACTGGGGAGTGAACCAGTGGATGGAAGACCTCTCTTTCTCTGCCTCTGCCTCTCTGTAACTCTGCCTTTTAAATAAATAAAACCTTAAAAAAAAAACTAAAAGCTAATCAAAACTAAAAGCTAATTAAATCTTTTTTTGAAAAAATAATCTATTTTTTATTTGAAAGGCAGAATTACAGAGAGAGATGGAAAGACAGAGAGGGAGGTCTTCCACCTGCTGGTTTACTCCCCAAATGGCCATAACAGCTGGGGCTGGGCCGATCCAAAGCCAGGAGCTTCTTCTAGGTCTCCCACGTAGGTGCAGAGTCCCAAGCACTTGGGCCAAACTCCGCTGCTTTCCCAGGTGCATTAGCAGGGAGCTGGATTGGAAATGGAGCAGCTGGGACTTGAACCGGCATTGCCTGTACTGCAGGTGGCAGCTTAACCCACTATGCCACAGTGCTGAACCCTGATTAGATCTTCAAACTAAATCTGTCACAGTTTTGACTTTTGACAGGTCTTTGTTCAGAAGCTCAGTCCAAATGAATGGCCTCCTATAAATCTTACTGAATATATTAAATCATATATATATAATGTATGTAGGTATATACATATATATTTATACACATAAGGAATATTCTCAAAGTGACTTGCTAAAGAACACAAAAATACAGTGGGTCTTCAAGAGGTTCATGGAAAATGTATATTATTATAAAAAAAACTGTCTAAATTTCAATTTTTTTTGGTGCATAAAATAACTATATTTTAATTCCCTTTTTTTCTACCAACGGTTTGAACTATCCCAGTTAAATCCCCAGGAGTGTTTGGGGAAGAAAGGGTACTGGTTCAAGAACAGTTTTCTGATTGTGAATGTTCTCAGAGCGTCCAAGAACGCTCCGGTCTCACGATTTCCTACCGTTTCAGAAACCCCATTGTCCTCCACTCAACTTGCTTCGGGCAGCCTCTTATACTTAGACACCTCTTCTAGGTGAATGGGTCTGAGCGGGGGAATAAAATAAAGGCGTTTAAAATGCCTCTCCCCCCACCCTCGTTATTTAGCCAAGGAAATGTCCTGTCATGTGACAGTAAACGAGTAATCAAGTTAGCCATTTACTCTTGACTTCAGGGGCCGTCCTGTAAAACCCCACGGGTCAGAAGAGACCCGAATTGTACTCACGTTTAAACAACTACAAGTCCCAGAAGGCTTTTCGGCGGCGGCGCCTGCGCATCGCGGGTTCTGCCCTCTTCGCTCCTGGTTGCCGGGAAAGACCCGCCCCGCGGCGCTGTCGCTCGCGTTAGAAGAAGCGGAAGAAGATGGCGCTCACCAGGTGGGTTGTTGATTTGGGTCCTTGATACGGAAGGGTCTGGTAGTGCCCCTCTTTTTCATGTCTCTGCCCCGTCGTCTCCAGCCAGGGATCTGGCTTAGGACACAGGAAGAAGAGAGCCGAGAGCTTGGCGAGGGCCTCCCGCCGGTCGCCGCGGCGGCTAGGCCTCCCCGACGCTGGGGTCTTTCCTGAGCGGCCTTGGGTTGAATTCGGCCCCTGGGCAAGGCCGAAACCCTCGGCGGGACCGCAGAAGCTGGAGAGCGGCACGTGTTTTCCGCTGAAGCCCCTTGCGGGTGTGTGGAGCGCGCGCCCTGGGGTCGGCGGCTCCGCGGGACGCGATGGCACCGTGGGGAGCGGGGCTTGCCTACGCGGGCGGAGGGAAGCGCGCGGGACGCGACTGCGCGACGCTCCGGCCGTTGTTCGCTTCTGGCTCTCTCCTTTTCTCTATCCACTCTGTCGCCCCGAACAAAGCTTCCCGAAAAGGGGGATCCGGAACTGATCGGGGAGTCTTCAGTTAGCCACAGTGGGGGCCGCTGTGTCCCCATAGGCGCCAGCGCTCCGCACTTTTAACTTTGAACCTTAGAATTTCTTCGGTGAAATCGAACCACCTTGGAGCGCTGCTGTGCCCGGTTGCCTTGGTAACCAAAGGCCAAGCGCTCCCTTCCTTTAGGAGAAAAAGATGCTCTAAGCGGGAGCTTCCGAGAAGTTACATAATTCCCTATGCGTGACCTGGCTGCCCGGTCTAAGTAGGCAAACTTTCCCCGCGAACTCATCTGGAAAAGTCGAGTGTGAAAAAATGGGCTGCAAAGGAAGCTGTCATTTTAGGGCGTGAGCTTGAGCTCCCTGACCATGCTTGGTTCTCCTCAAGCGTCTTCAGCCAGGCCGATGACACTGAATTTAAAAAAAAAAATTTACGCGACCATTCTTTTGGGAATGACGTTGAGTGCCTTGCTGTATTCAGGCGTTACGTATCCAGGAGATCTGTCTTTAGCTGCAACGCAGATGGGGCCCAAGGCATACAACTATCAAAGTGCTCATTTACATAGATGATAGTCTTAGTGCAAAAAGCAATTAGATGAAGAGAACTGCGTGGATCAAAGAGTTTGCTTTAGAAACTGTTACAGGTAGGTGCGAGGCATTGTGACATAGACAAGTAGGGTCAAGAGAAAAAGTTAGAATTTGAAGTGGATATGCAGGGAAAATACCAGGGATGTTGAGGGTATTGTGTGCTTAAAATCGCAATGGCAGAATGCAGTCTTTAAGTGGCCAGTCTTAGCAACTGTGTTGCTTTTCATATGCTATTTGTATACTTTTAATGTCCTCTATAATAAATCGGTAAACGTTTCCCTGAGTTTTGTGAGCTGGCCTAGCCAGTTGAACTCAAGGAGGGAGTTGTGGAACCCCAGTTTATACCTCGTGGGTGAGGAGTATACCCTGAGCACACTTGAAATTGGTATCTGAAGTGTGGCAGTCTTGCAAGACAGCCCTCAGGATCTGTCAGAATTGAATTGAATTGGACATTACCTGAATGTCTGGAAACTCCCCCCACATCTGGTGTCAGAAGTGTTGGGTGTGTTGTATTGGTTGATGAGTGAGAAACTTTTTCCTATACTTTTGCATTCCTATCTGTGCAGAGCTTGCCTTCTGGTTATATGAGTGAAACAAATCAATAATGCCATTTCAGGTACCAGGTACTGGGAAGACAGTAAAGGGTTGGAGGGTGACTCCAAGTTTGGAATCAAGTGGCTTTTTTGGACAAGGTGGTCACAACTTTAGGAAGGTGTAATTAGTTGAGCAAAGAGATGCGCTGCTAAATGCAGGCTGCTAAAAAGTTGGGGAAGAGTTTGCTGTAAAGGAAAATTGCTTTTAGTAAGTAAATAGACTATGTCATGGTAGAAGGAATAGCAAAGGTAAAGCTCCTGCAATGTCTTTTTAGGGAAAGATGACACGACTGTAGGGACATCAGGATGATGAGTGCGAAGTATCGAGTGAGCTATTTTCTATCTTTAAGGAGCCCCTGTTAGCTGGACAGTTACTGGGAAGTTGGGATGAAAGAAGTTAAATCCGTGGGCCCTGCCTCAAAGTTTGTGATGGTGCTGTGTGAGGATAGATGACTGCACTGCAGTGAGGTGGATATTTCTAGTGATGAAACACAGAGATACACAGAAAGTCTTTTTTTTTTGCCAGGCAGAGATAGAGTGAGAGAGAGACAGAGTTATAGACAGTGAGTGAGAGAGAGAGTTATAGACAGTGAGAGAGACAGAGAGAAAGGTCTTCCTTCCATTGGTTCACCCCCAAATGGCTGCTATGGCCGGCGCATCGCGCTGATCCGAAGCCAGGAGCCAGGTGCTTCCTCCTGGTCTCCCATGCGGGTGCAGGGCCCAAGCACTTGCGACATCCTCCACTGCCTTTCCGGGCCACAGCAGAGAACTGGACTGGAAGAGGAGCAACCGGGACAGAATCCGGCTCCCCAGCTGGGACTAGAACCTGGTGTGCTAGCGCCGCAGACGCAGGATTAGCCTAGTGAGCTGTGGTGCCGGCACACAGAAAGTCTTATGGGAACAGAGGTAGAGATAGCTAACCCAGACTGAAGAAATCATGCAACAGACAGGATGCCAGCTGGTTCAGGAATTTTTTCATTTAATACTTATAAGGTTGATAACTTTCATGATCTATCTTTATAGATGAGAGAACAGATTTAGAAAGTTGAGTAACTTACCCAGATTAGTAAGTGGCATAGGTAAGGATTTGAACATTGAGCTCATAGCGATCACACCTGATTCCCCAGATTGCATTAGATCCTCTGATGTGTGCTGTCTCAGTACTGTCTTCTTCCCTCATCACTTAATGTATCACAGTTATGGATTTTTGTGATTATATGATTGTCTTTCTCCCCTGAAAGACTATAAGCTGTTTATGCTCTCATTGCCTGCATAGCGTAGTGCCTGCACCCCAGTGATCAATAAATATTTTTTTAAAGATTTATTTATTTATTTGAAAGAGTTACAGAGAGAGGTCTTCCATCCGCTGGTTCACTCCCCCGTTGGCTGCAGCGGCTGGATCTGTGCCAATCTAAAGCCAGGAACTTCTTCCAGGTCTCCCACGTGGGTGCAGGGGCCCAAGGGCTTTAGCCATCTTCCACTGCCTTCCCAGGCCATAGCAGAGAGCTGGATCGGAAGTGGAGCAGCCAGGACTTGAACCCGTGCCCATGTGGGATGCTGGCACCATAGGTGGCAGCCTTATCTGCTACACCACAGTGCTGGCCCTCAATAAATATTTTTTTTTAAATTTATTTATTCATTTGAAAGACAGAGTGATGTGATCTTCCAACTACTGATACAGTCCTCGAATGTTCCCAACAGCAGTTCAGGGCCAGACCAAAGCCAGGAGGCAAGAACTCCATTCTAGTCTCCCACATGGGTGGCGGCGGTCCAAGCATTTGGGCCATTTTCTGCTGCTTTCCCAGGAGCATTAGCAGGATGTTGGATCAGAAACCCAGTAGTGGGCCGGCACTGTGGCTCACTTGGTTAATCCTCCGCCTGCGGCGCCAGCATCCCATATGGGCACCGGGTTCTAGTCCTGGTTGCTCCTCTTCCAGTCCAGCGCTCTGCTGCGGCCCGGGAAGGCAGTGGAGGATGGCCCAAGTCCTTGGGTCCTGCACCCGCATGGGAGACCAAGAGGAAGCACCTGGCTCCTGGCTTTGGATAGGCACAGCGCTGGCTGTAGCAGCCATTTAGGGAGTGAACCAACGGAAGGAAGACCTTTCTCTCTGTCTCTCTCACTGTCTATAACTCTACCTGTCAAATAAATTAAAAAAAAAAAAAAAAGTAGCTTTGGATCACCAGTCCGGTATGAAATGCCATCATTGTAAAGTGGGGGTTTAACCTGCTACTCTGGCTGGCCCAAGTAAATATTTTTGAATATATATGAAGAAGTGCTACTAAACAAGTATGCTTTCTAGTCAAAAATCAGAAAGGAACCTGAATTATTTCTCCCATTAAATCTATTATTGATCCTCTTGAATGCTTTGTTGGTACTTTGGGGTACAATATAATACAATATTTAAAAGTTGGTAAGAATACCAGCACTTTCACAGTTCCTCCCTAGGAAGTGGGGCCAGGATTTCGTAGCTGGTGCTGGAAGAAAACCCTTAATTGCATCTTTGCCCTGGAATTTACCAGTGGCAGGTGACACTCAAGGGAACAGCATCATTCTGGAATCTTACTCAACATTGTTTTTTCTCCTGTTGCTCTAACTTGAGACCCTCTCCCTTCATTTGCCATAAGAATAAAACACATTTTTTAAAAGTTGGTAAGAATGATATAGTAGAAAGGTTACTCTGATTCTTACACCTCTTCAGTTTTAAATTCCATTGTAAACTAGATACCTTGAGGAAAAGGTACTTAGATATGCAACTTGTGTTTCTTGTATTCGCCTCTTTGTTACCTTCCATTTTAATCCTTGTTCTTTTGTATCCACACTAAAATTGTCAAGGCACTAGTTAGAAATAATTATAAGAAGGTTACTTAGATGCCATGTACTGTACAGTTGTCAGCGGGGTAATTAGAGTGTTTACCTGCTTGTTGTTGGAAATGTGGAGGCAGGAGCTGTGGTACAGTGAGTTAAGCGGCTTTCTGTAATGCTAGCATCCCATATGGGTGCTGGTTCAAGTCCTGGCTACTTCACTTCAGATCTAGCTCCCTGCAGTACACCTGGGACCGCAGTGGAAGAAGGTCCAAGTCCTTGGCCCCCTGCACCCATGTGGGAGACCTGGAAGAAACTCTTTGCTCTTGACTCCTGGCTTTGGATTGGCCCAGCCCCAGCTGTTGTGGCTATTTGGGGAAGGAACCAGTGGATTAAAGATATTTCTCTCTGTCTCTCCTCTCTCTGTAACTCTGCCTTTTTTTCTTTGTCTCTCTTCTTCTCCCTCTCCCTCCCCCTCCCTCCCTCCTTCCTTCCCTCTCCCCCTCACTCTCTCTCTCTCTTTCTTTCAGAAAGCTTTTATTTAATGAATACAAATTTCATAGGAACAGCTTTAGGAATGTAGTGGTTCTTCCCCCCATGCCCACCCTCCTGCCCCCATGCCTGTCTCACCTCCTCACTCTGCCATCCCATTCTTCATTAAGATTCATTTTTAATTTTTTAAAAAGATTTATTTATTTATTTGAAAGTCAGAGTTACGCAGAGAAGGAGAGGCAGACAGAGAGAGGTCTTCCATCCACTGGTTCACTCCCTAATTGATCACAATGGCCGGAGCTGCGCCAATCCAAAGCCAGGAGCCAGGAGCTTCTTCTGGGTCTCCCATGTGGGTGCAGGGGCTCAAGGACTCGTGCCATCTTCTACTGCTTTCCCAGGCCATAGCAGAGAGCTGGATCGAAAGTGGAGTAGCCAGGACTTGAACTGGTGGGCATATAGAATGCTGGCACTGCAGGCGGCGGCTTTACCCAATATACCACAGTGCTGGCCCCAAGATTAGTTTTTAATTAACTTTATATACATAAGACCAACTCCACTAAGTAAAGATTTCAACAGTTGCAGCCGTACACACACAAACACACACAAAGTATAAGATATTGTTTGAGAACAAGTTTTATAGTTAATTCTCATTGTACAACTCATTAAGGACAGAGGGCTACATGGGGAGTAAATTTACAGTGACTCCTATTGTTGATTTAACAATTATCACTTGTCAGTGATCACCCAAGGCTCTTGACATGAGCTGCCAAGACTATGGAAGCCTTTTGAGTCCACAAACTCCATCAGTATTTAGACAGGGCCATATGCAAAGTGGAAATTCTCTGTTCCCTTCAGAGAAAAATGCACACTTTGATGGCTCCTTCTTTCAACTCTGCCTTTCAAATAAAATAAATAAAAATCCTTTAAAAAAAGGTGGAAGCATAAAAGCTTAATAGTTTAAGTGAGATACCTGTTAATTTTTGTCCGAGTCAAATGTGTGTCTCTGAGTACTTCTTTCCACATACAGTAAAATGAGTGGTATTTAATACAGCCGGAAATCATTAAGAAGCCTGTGCTTTTGCTCAAAGGAAAAAGCATTATAGGAGAAATCATCTCTGATGGACAAATTGCAATAATCAAATTAAATGTAAACTTTTTAAATTATTCTATTTTCTTTGCTTATAGCTTTTTACCTGCACCTACTCAGCTCTCTCAGGACCAGCTTGAGGCTGAGGAAAAGGCAAGATCCCAGAGATCGCGGCAGACCTCGCTGGTCTCATCTCGAAGGGAGCCCCCCCCATACGGGTACCGGAAAGGCTGGATACCTCGGCTGTTAGAGGTAAATATGGATGCTTAGTTTGGACTCGTTAAACTGTGCTGAAATGTATCATAGCACACTTGTTAAATACCTTTAATCCCCATACCTCTGATTAGGAACGTCATGAGCTCTCGAGATGCATGCTTTACTCTGAAAATTTATCTTTTTCTTGTTTGATATCACTGTTCTTTGTCTCTTCCTAAGTCAGACTGTTAAACAGGTACAAAAGGAACTAACATATACTTTCTAAGTATAAATTACAGCATATGGAAGATAATGGGAAAGTAAGAGATGAAAATAGCCGGCGCCGCGGCTCACTAGGCTAATCCTCCGCCTAGCGGCGCCGGCACACCGGGTTCTAGTCCCGGTCGGGGCGCCGGATTCTGTCCCGGTTGCCCCTCTTCCAGGCCAGCCCTCTGCTGTGGCCAGGGAGTGCAGTGGAGGATGGCCCAGGTGCTTGGGCCCTGCACCCCATGGGAGACCAGGAAAAGCACCTGGCTCCTGGCTCCTGCCATCGGATCAGCGCGGTGCGCTGGCCGCAGCGCGCCGGCCGCGGCGGCCATTGGAGGGTGAACCAACGGCAAAGGAAGACCTTTCTCTCTGTCTCTCTCTCTCACTGTCCACTCTGCCTGTCGAAAAAAAAAAAAAAAAAAAAGAGAGATGAAAATAAAGAATGATGGAAGTTAATTTCCCACCATCCAGATCATGCTCCATAATCCTGAGGAGCTGCCTTCCGCCAGGGAAAACTGCAGTAGCACTTCCTCTGCTGATTTCTTTCTCTTCATCCATTTGAGGATGTTAATACATGCCTGCTACACAGATTATATAGTTTTAGGAAGTAAAAGAAACAAAGCTTGATGATTGATTTGGGGGAGAAGGAAGAATGTGGAATGATCTTTATATCTCTAGCTTGTTTCAAGGAGCAGACTTCCTTGCCAGCACTTAGTCTCCTATTACAATCCCATATGTCAGTTCAATACGTATTCTTTTCCCTGATTTCAGAGTAGCCTTCCCATATGGGACCGTCTTTCCTGTCTAGTGAAAAAAGCAAACTTTGAGACTTACATTGCTCCAGTTTTGCAAATGCAGTTGTAGTCTGTCTCCCATATTTGTCTTTCCCCTGCCTACCAGACTCTACAGAGCCTAGAAGATGACTACCAGTTAGTTCATATCTTGTCATAAAATAAGTCCCTGTCTTTTTTTCCTTGGCTGCTCTGGTCTTTATGAGTTCTGTTGTGTGAAGGCAGTCTTAGTACAGTTTTAAGAGGTTTGTGTTGTTTCTTTTGTTCTCTCTGATAATATAATATTCAAGAAGCAGGGTATGGTAAAAGGTCATCATCAAAGAGGCTGTCATGCCCTCTTTCCCGGGGCAGAAAGGTAGTGGTCAGTACTATTTAGTAGAGAGGTTGAGTGTTACTCTGAGAGATCATAGATATTCTTTGACCCCTCAGTAGATTACAAAATGGGAGTGGCACGCATCATCTTAAAATATTTTACATCTTTTTACATCTTTGCATTTCAGGATTAGGTTTGATTGCCAATAGCTTTTTTAAAATCTTAATTGATTATAAAGATTTCATATATCCAGATAGAACCAAACAGTTTATTTGAAAATCAAACCAAAATGGGCAGCTAATCTGGAAATGCCATGGGTGCCTCTTGAGAGGAGTGAATGTTCTATGGGAGAAGGCATTTTGTTCTAGTTTTCAAAGTAAGAGCTGTGATTTTCTGGCAAGCTAAATGACCACATAATGCTACATCTACAGTTCTGAAGAGCTTATTATAGTTGAACTCTAGCAAATCTGAGCCTGTGTCAGATTGATGCTGTGGGTACAGAAGGCACTTTGCTTAGGAATGCTTTAACTATTCCTGCCTAATTTACAAAGAAATCTGTATTAGCTTTATTCTGCTGGATTTCAAAAATTTCACACCTCTCTTTAGCAAGTAGGCATATTGTACCTAAAAACTCATATCCTAGTTTTAATGGAATACTGCTTGTAGAAGTATATTTTCATAATTTTTTTTTCATCAAATCCCTAAATGATTAATTTAAGATTTTTCCCAGACTTCATAGTGCTGTAGGTTGAATATCCCTCTCCTGAAATGCTTGGTACCAGAAGTGTTTCAGATTTTGTAAGATTTGATAGTTTTTTTTTTTATCAGTCAGGTATCCCTAATCCAAAAATCTGAAATCCAAACTCCAGAACTTTTTTAGGGTCATGTTGCTGCTGAGAAAGCTTTGGATTTTGGATTTTCAGATTTGGGAAATTCAACCTGTGCTTATTTGGCTTTTTTGAGCCAAAAGAAAAACATATCAAAGTAGTTAAAAATAGGAAGCTTTGGGGCAAATTGTTGTGATATAATGGGTTAAGCTCTTTAAAAAAAAAAAAGATTTATTTATTTACTTTTAAGTCAGAGTTACACAGAGAGAGAAGGAGAGGCAGAGACAGAGATGGCTTCCGTCCATTGGAAACTCCCCATTTGGCTGCGACAGCCGGAGCTGCGCCAATTCAAAGCCAGGAGCCAGGAGTCTCTTCCGGGTCTCCCACACTGGTGCAGGAGCCCGAGAACTTCGGCCATCTTCTGCTGCTTTCCCAGGCCATAGCAGAGAGCTGGATCAGAAGTGGAGCATCCGGGACTCGAACCGGTGCCCATATGGGATGCTGGCACTGCAGGTGGTGGCTTTACCTGCTACACCACAACGCCAGCCCCAGGGGTTAAGCCCTTTCTTAGGATGCCCATATCCCATGTTGAGAGTGCCTGGTTCAAGTCCCAGCCACTCTACACTCCTGTCTAGCTTCCTGCTAATACACCTGGGAGGCAGCAGATGATGGCCCAAGTTCTTGGGTTTTTGCTACCTGTGTGGGAGACTTGGCTCGTGGTTTCATCCTGGCCTAGCCCTGATTGTTTTTTTGTTTGTTTGTTTTGTTTTTG